CGTGCTGCACCAACCTTGGACCTTGGCCTTTTCTTTTTCTCTACAGGAAGTTCTGTGGCCCTCAGAACGCACAAGTACATAGGCAGGTCAGTTTTATTTGCCCGTTTGGCTGCCTGACGCAATGAAATGAAATCCAATTTTTCACGTACAGGCTGCCGTACACACTTCCCTGCCACTCTCCGTGTCCTTGTAGTTCTGCACCTCGGGGGACCCTGGGTTTTGTGAGGGTCTTTGTTGTCGTCTGGAGAAAATGTGTTGGGTTTGGTACACCCCCCCTGGGAAACATCAGCCGTCCCCGGCGATGACAAACTTCGCAGCCCTGCAGGCTGCCGGACCCACTCCTTCGCCGAAGAATCATACTGCCAGAACTGAGGCGATGATAGTACAGCCAACTTCCTTCCCAGGTCTGTAGTAGGAGACCTATCACCCTGCTTGAGGTCTCTGAAGTGGCACTGGAGACCGTTCAGACCTCTGTCGACTATCTGACAATGCGTGCCAGACTTCTCACGAATTCCCTGGATTGGCTCCAGCTGTGAGCCATAACGCAGAAAAACCGTGTTTGACCGCCAATCCACCAATGGGTTCATAATATCCAGCCAGTCCTTTCCCAGTATGAGCTGGACCCCTTCCATCATCGGTACTGCAGTCAAAGCGAGTCGACAAGGTACCTTCCCGATGCATACCAGTACTCGTGGGGCGATTCCGGTGGAAACTATGGTTTCCCCATTGGCCAATTCCAAGGCCGAATATGCTCCCACAAACTGCAATGGTTGATGACACTGGAGCAGGTCACTGACAAAAGATCTGCTCGCTCCGCTGTCAATCAACGCTGGGACACTTGTCCCGTTCACCATGGCTTTCACAACCAGCAGCACGTGGTCCTTCACTCCAGTGCTTGGGGCTGGTGAACCCACAGCATCAGCTCCTGGAGCAGGCTCAGTCCTCTGCACGGACACCTTAGGGGTCTCTCCCAACTGGGCTTGAGACTTTAAAGCCATCTCCCGGGTGTCATCACTTGAGCCTTGTTTCTGCTCATCGCGCTGTGCGCGTCGGATCCGACGTCTTTCCAGCCTTCTCAACCACCTCCACTTCCTCTGCTGATGTCTACGTCTGGCGCGACTGAGTATAGTGTTTTGTAGAGTACAGGTCCTCTGGATGACCTGTCCCTATTGCCCCCGATTATCTCCTGACTGGCCAGAGTGGGGACCAGTCAGTTTCCTTGCCCCTGACGCAAGGAAGCATCGGTGCCTCTCACGGCTGCGTGCTGAGCAGCCTCCTGGTCCTGGTGACCAGCCATCCCCTTGATCAACCTGGGCAACTATGCCTGCTGCCCGGGGCCTCCTCTGGTTACCCTGTCCTCGTCCCCTCTGTCCAGATCCACTGGCCAGTTGTCGTGCAGGCTGTCTCACAACAATTGCTGGCTGTGGTGGGACGGGAGGCCTACCAGCTTGCCCCCTGCCACGATTTCTTCCCCCATGCTGCACATATTGACCCTGCGCCTGGTATACTGTGTTAGGCGTCGAACTCTGCCCTGTCCCACTGTGCTGGCCTATAGATTTGCCATGGCCACGTCCTTGGCCCTTCTGACTGCTGCTGCCCTCAGTTTTTCCACTTGTTCCTGGGCGCCTCGCCATCTGGGCGGCCAAGGCAGCATCTCTGGCCAACTGGAAAGCCTGACTAAGTCGTGTGGGCTTTCCCTGGGATACTAGCATCGCCTGGTCTTGGGGAAGACCCCAAATGAACATCCTCAGTACCCACGATTCATCATACGTATCCACTTTATCCAGCTCCGCCTCGAATCTGCTGATGAAATCATGGGTGCTCTCTGCCTTCCTCTGTTTTATGTTCATCAGGGCAGCCATTGCAGAATCCGCCTTGTTCGTATTCTTAAACCTGCGGATCAGCTGTTGTGCAAAGGCTTCCCAATCCTTGGGGTATTCCCAAGCCTTGACCTTCCGTTGCCACCAAGTCTGTGCAATACCCTGTAGCAACGTCGAAGCATATGCAACCTGCTTCTGTGGTGGCCCTCCCACCAGGCGAAAGAAGTTCGATACCTGCCCAACCCACATCTCTGGGTCCTCCTGTGTCCGTCCTGAGAATGTAGGTGGGTTGCGGGGTTTTATTGTCACGTCAAATACCCCAGAATTTATTCCCTCTCTACGTATAGATCTGGTCCTCGATGGTGCAGCACCTGTAGGTGCACCTGGCGAACAAGAACAATGGGAACCCCCTGAAGAGCGTGACTCTGACCTCGGTAGTCGAGTGGTGTCAGCCATACTCAACCTCTGCTCTGGTCCAGTAACCTCCCTGATCCTGCAACTGCCTCTACTGAACCAGCTCTGATGTACACGCCCTCCTGCTCCTGCAACTCCATGATGTCCCTGTCTGCCATGGTACACCCTCAAAAATGCTGTAGCAATACTGTACACTGCAACCCATCACTGCTGTCCTCTCACACAGCTGCAACTGTGTAGTCTATGGGTAGACCTGATCTTGGACTACTGACACTGATCTCCCCTATCCAATGTAGTCCCTATCCTCCCCTTGACCTCTCAGACCAGAATCACCACGCTTCCGCTGGTTTTCAGGCACACTTTCGCACACAGTTACCCTCAGTACTCTGTAGGGTACCCTCTCGGTTCCCCTAGTAACTTTCCGGAGGGTGCGTCTGTGCTTACTCACGTGCCCTAGTCCCAACTTCCACGCAGTAATCTAGCCTGATGTCCCGTGCCTGGGACGAGGGGAGTACGGAGAGGCGGCCTGCTATGGCCATTCTGGGTTGGCCTGTGGCACCCCCAGCCTCGTCTATTGTGCTAAGATCTGCCCACCAAGCATCACCGGGGTGGGTCAGATCTGTGTACCTGAGGTGGCCAATGGGCTCACCTCGCCAGCCGGTTCCCTGGGGGATACCTGCCACTAGGCAGGGGCATCTCTGGACCCCGAAGGGCCTGCCTAGTGCCGTGCCGAATCTCCCCCCAGTTCCCCTGAACTGGACCCCAATCTTCTTTGCAGAGCGGCCTAGTTGTGGCCCGCCTGCAGTACCTGCATCACAATTTGAAGCAGCAGATTGACCCCCACTTCTAGGGCAGGTCCTTCACCCCCTTTTCTTAGGCGGGTGGTATTGGCTTGTTTCTTGGGGCCCTGCCCTCTCTTGGGCTTAGTCACCTGTCTGCTCCTTTTTCTGCTCCTTTCTGGTCGATTGGGAGGTCCTGGCACACTGCAGCTCGTCCTGGCTCGCTGGAACTGGCCCAGTACCGGTGCTCTGGCACCCTAAAGTACTGCGGGCTTGGGCTGACTGGACCTCGCGTGTTCGGCTGCGCGTCGAGCGCCTGGCGCTGCTCCTCCGGGTGCTGGCCACCTGCTGGTCACCCCCTTGGACGGCTCTCGCCGGCTCTCTCCGCGCGCCGGTCGGATGGCCCCGCCGATTTGCCAATCGGGGCGCGGGCTCGATGGCCGCGGATCTCCCCGGCGATTCAGCCCCCGGATCGGGCTGATCGCCTCCGCGGCCGCGGTTGGATGGGGTGGCTCTGGCGCGGCGATTCCGCGGCGAATGGTGCCGCGCCTCTTGGCCCAATCTCGCCGCCGCGTCCTGCTCGGCTCCCGGCTTCGGCTCCGCTCCGAAACCACTTGTTGCGGCCCGCGGGCGGCCGCTGGTTTCCGGAGTTCTGGGGGCGGTCGCCGCACCCGATGGCGCGGCCTCGATGCCGCGCCTCTCCGCCGAATCGCGGCGGGCGTTGCGGGGTGCTCGTTTCTTCGGTAGCGCGGTGGGCCCTTGGACGCTCGGGGACCTTCCCCGAAGCCTGCCGTGCGCAGGCGGTGGTTCGCGGCGGCGTTCGGTGGTTCGCTGCCTCGCGGCGGGGCAGTGAGAGGGGCCCGAAAGGCGATTACAGTCTGACACTCGCGATGCGCGCATCCAATGTACCTGCGCGATGCCCGGTCGCGGGTCCATCGCGTCACATCAGACATGACAGCTCAGTGTAATGTACGGACCATGTCCCAGCGCCCCCGGTCACCTATAATCAACCTAATCTAGCTCTAATTCCAACCATCCCCACCCAGCACCCGGCCTCTAAGTACTGAATCTTCACGAGGCCGTATCTTCCTCAATAGTCCACAGAACTGAGTGCTGAAAGAAGCATTGGAACCAGGAAGTCATAAATAAACCGCAGATAAGGATGACTGAGCGAGATTACGTAATGTAACTGCAGAAAACACCAATAACTGCCTGCCCCCAAGTAGCTCCACAACACTGCACCTATTGGTGCATCAATTGATGCATAAATTGGTACAACAATCATTGCGTTCAATCCTACAACAATTGGTGCGCGAGTGCATGCACCGACTGATGCACCATTTCATGCACTAATTGGTATTCTAAACTTGACCGTAAGACGCCAAATCCTGGTGACTGAAAGTCATTGCAATTGGACATGTTCAACTCATGTTGAAACTCGCTTGCATTCATCTACTTGCTAAGGCTTCAAATACCATTTCTATTTGGCCCTAGCATACTAAACAATTACATGCATTGTGTCACAAATATCAAAGAACGTCTGAGTAGTCCAGCCGACCGCACGATGCTGCACCGTCGGGTTAATCAGAGGACCGCGCTTGCGCAGCGCGCGCGGATATCCGGCCTTGTAAAAATATCAAAATAATGTCTTCCCTTAGTCAACAAGATCAGTAATTTTCATTTTTAAAGCAAATGCTGCTATTGCGACGCATGAATTGAACACAGAGAGAACGCTGGCAAACCTGGCCTGACTGGTTATGGTGCGAATGCATCTGAATGCGAACGCCTGTTTGGTGTGTGTGACTCTTGGATTTAGAACGGTAACTCCACACGAAGGTCGGCCTCCGTGCATGGACACGTAAACGTCCCTCGAGCCTTTCACGTGGTTGGTACCCTCAGGCTTCGTTAAGCCCAGACTTCTGGTCACGCTGCCACCGCCACAACAAGCAGAGCGCGCAGCCCTCCCAGTTCCCCAGGCCAGGTCGCCATGCCGTCCAAGAAGATATCGCAGGTGCTGCAGGCATTTCGGCGCACAGCACCGCACGAAGCCGTGCGAAGCGGGTCGGCCCCTTGCCGCTGTGCATCCGTCGAACACGCCACAATCCCGTCAATCATCTGTCTGTGGCGCTCAGGAGGCCTTTGACGAATTAGTCCAGGAAAACCGCGAGACGTTCGGCATGGTGGTGAGTGCTCTGGGGCGGCATGGACGGGGACAAGGAGACCATAGTTTTACAATCTGCTTCCAATTGCTTTGTTGCCTTTGCCTTGCCTGTACCTCCGCCTTGCCTTACCGTGTCTTTACCTGTGCCTTACCCGTGCATGACTTTGGCTTTTCTTTCCCTTTGCCCATAGAGACAAGCTGAGCCCTTGCAGTGTGAAGTCGATGGTGGACAGATGCACATCCAAGACATTTGTCTGTCCCCAACTCTTTAGTTTTTCTGCTCGCCACCCGTTTTCAACACATGCATGCTGTTGCCAAGAAAACAAAACTGGTTCCACTAGCCAACTGGTTTCGCAAAGCAACTGTTTCTCATTGGAGAATCCCCAGCTGGGGCCTAGCACAATTCTGGCTTGTTCTTGCTGGCTCAGGGATTCAGTGGCATTGCACAGTGCCCACTCAAGTTGCAAGATCGAATGGTCTCTCATGTGGTGCCGAACCTTGAGCTTGCTTGGCACCACTGAGTATACTTGGCAAGTGCAACAATTTAGTAAGTATCTGCAACCGAATTGGTGGACAGGAAGGTGTGATGAGCTGCAACAACGGGCCACCACATCGCAACGATGCCGTAGTGCCTCGCCTCACCCCTTTGCATGTGGGCTCACACTGCTGCCCCCCACCCTGCCTGCAGTAATAATTATTGAAGTTCAGGGGTCTTGCAGCACATAAAGTCACCAATTGTTGTGGAGCAACTGGAGATTGACTCGCATTTGCTTTGTATGCTGTTGTGTGTAGGCTGAAGAGGCGTTGAAGAGCACTATAGAGGAGTTGGAGCTGCAGGTGTGCTGCCTTTGATCTGCAGGTTGCTGGCACACGTTGAAAAGCACTTCATGTGGCATCCTGACATGGACAATGTTGCCCAGGGTGTTTGCCTGACGGGAATAATAAAGTCTGCGCAAAGACAACAGCACGAACTGTAAGTGAGGGATCGTTGGAGATGAAAGATTAGAAATGGCCCCAAATGAACAAACTGGTTGCTTTGCAAGCGCAACTCATTCTGTGCAACTGGACCTTCCTTGTCTTGCCATCATCATGCATTCTCTGTGCCTTCATGGGATTGCTGTTTCGGCCAGTTTGTACTTCTTCGGTGATTTGGCAGGCAAGATGCTCAGTCCTGCCCTGCCAGGATCGTCCATTTTCGTTGTTGGCCTTGATTCCAGCTTGTGTACATTCTTGGGCTAGAAGGCCATACAGTGGGGGTACCTATATAGTGCCCACCCATGACATGGCCCAAAACAGCGCACTATTGGGGGCTGGGCACTTAAAAATTGATGCACTTTAATGTATATAGTCACAATCTAATCCATCCAGTGAGGCTCCCCATCATTTTTCATGTAGTAGAAGACTTGTTGGCTGCGCTACGGGCTGGTTGAATGCTAGATATACCCATCGTCCTGGCGTACCCTCTGCAATAATACAACAGAATTGGCGCACTGTTGGAAGCTTGCATTGGAGCGATACATTCCTTTTCTTGTGCATTTGCAAATAAGCTGCAAAGTACAAGGAAATAAACCTACCCTTCAATGCGAACCTCCAACATGGTGTTTGCAACTATCCATCACATCGACTTCCACAATGATGTGCATGGCAGTGCCTGCATCATGAGCGCTTAATGCGTTCTGCCGGCCAGTGCCACATCAGAAAAGCCAGCCACATGCTATGACATATCAGCTGTGTGGCATTGTTCTTGTTGAGTTTCTGGGCTAATATCTGGTCAGTTGACCATTTGTTGGACACCCAGGGCATCGTTTGTACCTTTCATTATGTCACCAGTGGGTCACAATTTTTGACAAAAGGCAATATTTGGCAGAATGTCTCGAGACCCAAAGCATATGATGAATTTCACAGTGCTGCGAACATGATATATGTCATTGCACAGTGCATGACAGCCTGTTATCGACAGGAATGATTGTGTGGCAACATTGGTGATCTGGCAATAACCACAAACACCTCATACAACGCTTGGATCTGTTCCCTTACTCTGTGCACAACCAATGCACGTTGTATTTCTGCCGAGGACCTTTGTTGTGTGTGTTTGAGTGTTCACTATACTGGCTTTAGGTACCCTTGTACATCAAAGGTGCATAATGTACTGCAGGAATAGTGCCAAGCCCCAGAACGGGGCGCCATTGGGGAGCGGGCACTATTGAGGGGCTGTTATATAGGTACCCCAACTGTACCCAGTGTGGCATCTGGTGAAGCTCAAGTGCAAGCCTCAAAGCCGTTTTGCTGTGCCCAGGCATCCAGTCAGTGTTGCTACCCAAAATATTGAGGAGAAATGTGGAGAAGGGAGCGATGCCTGTGATGCCTGCAGTCTTGTCCCTGCCTTTGAAGAACTCCTGAGCGCGGTCAATGCTGATGAGAAAACAAAGAGGGCAGAAGCATTGTCAGGTTTGCACGACATGATTGGTGGGGCATCAGCGCATGGACGACTATGAATCAGATGCAGCTGGTGATTTTTCTTGGAGTTGCAGCCATGTACAGAATGCTGACTGGGCTCCAGAGATAAAGGCAATTGATAAGCTTAGTGTGATGTCTGAAAGATTGAGAGTGAGGGCAATTGCATTCATCAGTGTGTGCAGCTGGGAGAGGGACGCATATTCCTGTATGTGTTGTGGATGCGATGCAGTTCATTCAGACATTCTGGCAGCCGCCCCTTCTGTAGTTGGCTGTCTGTCCATGGCAGCATGCTGACAGGTATTTTGAAGTCAAGCTCACACCTGGGGAGGAAAACTGGGTGACTTGATATGGGTCAATGGAGCTCCTTGTGCTTTTGTGTGGTCTATGGCTGCACTGACCGATCATCAGTCCCTATTTGCAGCTTCGAATGTCTCCTGTGAGACACAAAAGTAGTGCCTGTCTTGCTGAATTAATGACAACTGTAACCCAATGTTATGCCCGATTGTCAAGTGTCGTTTGCCAATTGCTGCCTTGTTACATCTCTTTCCTTGGTCACTTGCTTGTGCAGTGGCGAAGAAGGCAGGATCTGTGGCTGTAGTGCTGACAGCGATGCGATGCATGTCCAAGGAGGCCTCCAGCCTGCAACTTGGCATCGAGGCCCTGATCGGCCTTGCAGCAACCTCTGACATGAGGAAGGCCTTCCACGATGCTGACGGCCCTGCCTCGATGCTTGCTTGGGTGAAGGAATTCGATGATGTGCACACGGTGGCTCTGCTTGCCAAGCTTGCAGCAGTTGTGTCAACGAAAAATGAGGCAAACAAGTGCAAGTACGCAGTGGAGCAGCGTTGTCTAAAATATTTGTGCATGTGCAAAATGCTACAGCGCTCAATAAGGTTGCTGGCATACGTGACTTGACCAAGTGGCAAGTTGATTATCACGTTCAACATGGGTTGGCTATGATAAGAGTGGCTTGAAACGTAAACTTGAGGCGCTGTGAGGACTGATGAGGAGACACACTCACTTGCATTGTCTTCAGGAGGAAGGCAAATCGTGGCAAGTTGTTGACGATGTTGAGCATATGTGGGTCCAAAATGCTCCCTTGATCCTTGGTCATTAGCTTGTCTGCCCACCACCTGTGTGCAGGTGCAAGCACAAGTGGTGGTTCAGGAAAGAGAAAAAAGCATATGCTTCCCCCGTCCCATACTAATTGTTGTCTACCACTTAGGCACATTAGTTCTGCATCATAAGAACCTCCATTTTAGATGAAACTCTGTGCAAAGTTGTGTACATGAGTTTGGAGTACAAGGAAAAAAGTAATGTCAATTCGTTAAGTGGATTTGGCAACCCTGTGTAGGAAGGCTCCTCTGCCCAGTAAACTTCCAATTGTTCCCTTGAAATGGACCAAAGTTTACCATCTGCCCAACGCTTGAAGGGGTCAGGACACATTTTCTTTTTGAAAATTGCCAGTTGAGGGTTTCGGCACCCAATCTTTCCAATTCTGGTTCCCTTTCATAATTCAAATTCCGTTTTAGTAACAAAATTTCGCTTGCAAATAAATGGCCATTAATGTTGGACAGAAGAACTACATTACAATGACATAGCCAGGGAGTGCACGCTGCACAGTGTGCCTTGCATATTGGCTGCTAGTTGGCTGGGGTGAAGTAGTGCCCTGCTGCTTGCCGAGTGCCTTCACAAGAGAGATCTGATGACAAAAATATGCGGATTATGGAGGTTTTGTTCCACATTGTTGACCCTGCTATTGAAGGGTTGCATGGGGTGCGAATGTCTCCACACGCCGCGCCTGTAGTATGCATTTCAGGCTGGTGGGCTTGACATCAACCGTGGAGTCTGACTCTGGATTCAGGATTCTGTCATCCCCTCGAGATGGAATTCTTGCAATTGCGGAGGCCATGGGTCTGACTGAGGAATGACGGTTGCATGGCGCCAGCACATTGTTCTATTGCTTCAGAAGCCATTTTTCCCACTTGACAGAAACCATAAACAACAAACCAGTACAAATTTGTGTCAAGAAATCCTGTTGTTATGAAAGCCTCCCTATCAATCGACACCAATGCTACGTGACGACCTTCTACTTTGTATCAGCTGGTTGCTTTTCTGCCATTGCCAGATTCTAGTGCGTCTGAATGACTTTGTGGATGATAGTGATCAATTCCAGGCATGTGAACACATATGTTATCCAGTGGACATGCCCCTAGTGGGTAGGAATATTGGTTCCCAAAAGACGACTTTAATTGCTCTAAATGCATCAGGGCCAGCATGTGGCAGTAGGTGCTGCAGACTATTCATATGTCCTTGGGTCCTTAAATGTTGTTGCCATGAACTTCGGGTGTGGTGGTGGAATTGTCTATTGCTGTTGCACTCAGAGATTTATATATCATGTATGTGGCATGCACAAGAGTTTTGCTTCAATTCTTGCTTGGAGGGGTACCAATTTGCAGGACAAGATTCTCTTTTTTTCTTTGTATGGCAGCCAGTGATGGTCACTATGCATTGCTGTTGTGTGCGATGATTGTAAATGTGAGGGCGATGAATATATGGCAGATAATTGTTAGGTGAATGGTGTTAGATACGGTGTGATTAGGCATTGTGAACACGGTGTTAAAGTATGGTGAGTATGGGAACAGTGGGTTACTAAATGGGGACATTTCCTGCCAACACTATTTGGTTGATGTGCTTGTCCTGTAATGCATTTGCTTGCAGCCTCGCTTCCTGTGCCTGAGGAGCGAGTGTGTGTGAGTGCGTGCGAGGCTGTTCTGCTAGCCTAACAGTAAATTTTGCCAATGCCACAGATTCATGGACTTGGGGTTTGCCGATTCTCTGCACGCCATCCTTTTGAAGTTGATCCCAGAGGGCATCCCTGCGTACAAGGAGGCCTTGGGGCCAACCTGCCAAGCTTTCGCATCCTTCACCACTGCCGACGACCCCACCCCCCCCACATCGAGGGCGATGCAGAATGCACGTGCCCTAGCTCAGAAGGGCTGGCCAGGCACCCTGCTGAACATACTCAACCACTTGCGGGGCACGGGGAAGGCTGAGCGCAGCGGTGAGCCACGACTAATATTAAACTCACTAGCTTGCAATATGAATAGCCACGATAGATGAATGGATGGATAGCTATTTTTTCACTAAGCCAGTTGTTGGTTTGGTGGTGAATTAGTTATTTATTATCCTTTTGATTGATGTTGCTGGAACCTGACCGTGTGTCGCCTTTGTGTCAGAAAGTCGGTGGCGTTCTTGCTTCCAGTTACAGAATGTGTTCAAGAAAATTTGCACGTTTCTGTGGCACCAGGCGAGCTGGCTGAGGTGATGGCGGACTGCCTGGGCGCACTGAGGAGTGTGGCGCTCAACGACGACATATGCAGTGGTTTTGTGAGGGAGGGCGGGGTGGGGGTGTTGATGGAGTTCCTGGAGGAGGACTTGGGAAATTGGGTGCTGGTCAAGAACACCTGTGCCACCCTGAGGCAGCTGGCCAGCGGCGACCTGGTGAAGCAGGAGATCATAGCGCAGAGTGGGCCCTCCATCGTCTACAGGTGAGCCGGAGGTTGTGGGGCTATTCAGATGGCTGCTTGTTGATTCATGCATAACACAGCACATTGCACAGCATGCTTGGCTTTTACGCCGTAAAAACCGATCGTATTTACGTTTTTACGCGTAAAAGTGCGTAAAAATACGTAAATACAACGTAAAAACTGTCCGGTGTACATAAGGACAGTACATACAGACTTGCGGAGTCCGGAGAGTGGCAGCTAGGCGCCCTGGAAGGGGCAGAAAACGAGTTTTTGTTGATCGCCATCATCGCCCTTGCCAAGGGCGAGGTGGACATTGTGTTGCGGGTGCTGGAGTTGGCGGATGACTGATCATTGTATTCAACTTTCATCGTATAACCTGGGTGTCCCAGGGAGCCGAAAAAACGTAAAAATAGCCGTAAAAACGTAAAAATAGCCGTAAAAATAGGCCCTTTTGCAAATTTACGTTTTTACGCGTAAAAACGCAAAAGTAAAAACGTAAACATAAACGTAAACGTAAAAACCAAGCCTGTTGTACAGCACGGAATAGAATAGCACAGTGGATCAAATCCGTGAATCTCGAATCTACAAACACAGCGCATTGCATAATGTTGAATTTGTTGCCAAACTGCCACATTGCAAATGGAAACTGAAATCTGCGTTGTGTATGCAAAAGAATGGGCAAATTGGAAGTAAGCATTTGTCAACAAGGGTGGGGGGAGCTCAGCGGAATAGTGCGCTCACAGTGGGCTGTCTATTGTGCAGAAAAAAGCTGGTTTGCTGCTTAGTTATTGGAGCTTTTAGGTTTTAGGGTTCAAATTTTTCATTTCTTTGTAGGGTTTGGGGTTTATGATTTTGGATTCGAAGGTGTGCCTTCTTGAACTGACTGCAAACTTGTCAAACGCATTGTAGGCTGCTGAGATTTTCTTGGCGTCTGCACCAAGACGCCAAATGCAGACACCAAATGGCAATGAATGCAATGGCACTGTGCACGCGTCGTTATAGATATTGGCACAGAATAGGTTTGTGGATTGTTTCAGCATGCTTTGGAATGCTATTAGATGCAACCCCAACTGACATTGTCTAGTGCCAATGACGTTCACCGCAAAACCAACGGCGCCCAGTGAGTCAGTTGTATGAGTGTGTATCTGTCGAGCAACGCTGCCGATATGGTGGCCTTTGAAGGCATAGGTGGCTCCTCACATCCGGTCCTTCGTGAAAGGCTTCCAGTGCAGATTCTGCGCTGTTGTCTGGCTTATATTCGTTACATCTTTGCAGACAAAACAATGATCATCAAAAATGAAACGGTGACAATAAGAGCTCTAGGACACTGTCAAGATGATGACGGGATGATAGTACGTTGGTCATTTGTACAGGTTCTTGACGCTGCTATTGCCACACCATTTGTGACGGTAATCAGCACTGACTGGTGCTCTTCAGGAAAGTATTCCACAACACAGCCCTTCACTAATAATGAGAACAACGTATGTGCCCAGCGTGCTCTTTCTGTACTCTGAGGTGTCGCTCACTTCTGGGTTCGTCCGAGCAGGGTACTGTCATCCTACTGCGAGCACGAGACCACCGTGGAGACGGTGCTGGGCATGGCCACAGCCATCACGCTGCGCAACCCAAATGGCAGCGAAGCCCTGGCAGAGGCCGGCTGCGTGGACCTCATCGTGGAGACTGCCAAGGCACATGACGGCAACCCCAAGGTGCTGCGTCAGGTGGCAATGTGTTGCCGCAACATGGTGGTGCGCAGCCCAGAGGTGAAGGGGAGGTTTCTGGAGCAGGGCATGGAGGCCGTGTTGCGTGGCACCAAGAAACGGTTTGGGGGGGAGTGCCACGAGGCAGCGTGTGCAGCCCTGCGGGACTTGGGATTCGACGACTACCACTAGTGGCCGGATGACGGGGTGAAGCTAGGGCGGGTGCATGACTCATTCGTTGGTTAATTTCGTTTCCGTTTGCCATAACTAAGCAAATGGGGGGCACAACAGGCATGACTGAACACAAGCGACTGCTGCTTGCACAGCGAGAACAAGGCAGATGGAGTGGTGGGATGGGGTCGGCAGGAGAACTGGAAAGCAACAGGGACATGGCCGCAGTTTTACTTTGTTTGATTGCTGTCACCAAACCCAACATATTGCACGCGAGCACCTTCAGGGGGATGAAGGGCACCTCTGGGAAGGGAGCAAGTCGACACATGAAGGTCATCTAGGGTAGGGCAGGAATGGTTCAATGTGGAAGACACGAGTAAGGTGTGTAGAGATGTCAGGTTTCACGATGATGATGAGCAGGCCACGAGCGCAGGCCGGCTGTCATATGCGGATGATTAAAGTCCATCGCGTGGACCTGTGCCACATGTACAATGGCACGTATAGCCCATGGCAGGTAAAGTGTACTGTGGTTGCCTGGGCGTCGCTCGGCCGTGACTGACGCCAGGTGACTCTTTAGGTGACTCTTTTGTATTTTTCAATGCCACGATGCAAAAACACATTTTGCTTCGGTTCCTGCTCGCCAACTGGCGAGGGCACTTCTTTTGATGTTTTATCATCGACAATCGCTCCTACGCATTAGGAGTTAATTGACTCATGGACTTTGCTTGTGTTGAACATTACATTTCAACAAACTGATCACAGACTCTGCTTTCCTCGGGCAAAATAGGAAGCTGACGGCTGCCTCATTGCCTTGTGCTATAAAAATGATGATGATGATGATGATGACACCAAGTCGAAGGATGACGCCGATCCCCGCACAGATGCTCAAAATGGTCATCCACTTGCCAGACATTGACAATTCTGCAAGCGCCCAAACCGCTGGTCGCCGCCATTGACCCAATTTGGCACAAGGCGATATCGAATTCCCAACGGCGACTCTCCATCAACCCATTTCAAGACCCCTTGTATCCCAGCACAGTGGTGGGCATAGACGAACGTGTTTGCACGTTTACGTTTCGTTTGGGCTCAAAGATCAACATAACGTGAATCACACGTTTGCGTTCCCGTCTCAAAACTCCAGACGTACTCTACACGTTTGCGTTCCCGTTTGCAAAGCTCAAACGAATAACACACGTTGGCGTTCCAGTTCTGACTGGTCAAACGTATGGCTAACCTTGGTTTCTACGTTTCCCACCCAAGTACACTCGTCTTGCTGTCGCATTGTCCTTGTAACCAATTTCTTGGCTCGGTCCTGTCCAGTGTTATTTACATCTTTTAATTTGTCTCCGTTGGTTTTCATTTCGTTATGATGTCGGTTCTGCGCGCCCACCCATTCAAAAGCCTCCTTTCGGCCAAGCTGATCCTCGTGCATGCACCCAGTCGACCCGGTAGCCCAGTGCACAAGCCAGAGTTCTGGAAAGGGAGATGCTGTATTGGATTCTCGTTTCAGTGGAAGTTTTAGAAATTCAAAGGTCTGCAGGTCTTCGGCGTTCACGTTTCTGCAACTCAAACGTGGGGCCCACGTTCAAGTTCCCGTTTTGAAAGTCCAAACGTCGTGCGCGCGTCTGCATTTCCGTTTCAGCAAGCCAAATGTTGTGGCCACGTGCACGTTCCCCTTTAGGGTATCTAGGCCCACCACTGTCCCAGGAAAAACCAGGGCAACATACGCTTCATTCCTGATGATGTCGCACCGTATCGCATAATCGCCAAGGGGCGGGCGTTGACACGGTGCAACTGCCGCGCCGTGATCGTTTTTGTACGGAACAGCACTCTTGTCCGCGCTCTGTGTGTTGGGTGTGTGTGAAGGAAGTTCTGTCGGCCCTGCGAGCGCGATTGGTATAGCACTTTTTCACGTGGCTTCTACGCCACGCGGTCGTCTGGACTGATGCCATCAAGGGGCAGGGGCAGTCATGTGTGTGACTCCAAGCTGACGGCTACCTCATTGCCTTGTTTTGTAAAAAATGGTGATGATGATGACGACGACTCCAGGTGACCTGGACATGCCGCAGTTCGATGTCCAGTTGGTGGTATCGCCCACTGGTAAGCTGCACATGTATCCCATGGACAGGGAAGGGCAGCTACCAAAATTTCCGCAAGTGCAAACGCGACCCTGTCCATGGTTGATCGCCAATGTGGCCACCCACCTTGACCGTGACAGGAAAAAGGTCCAGCAATAAGGGCCATCTAGCCGTGGAAACGTCCGACGGGTCTCTCAGCTTTTCTGCCAAACCCGTGTTGCTGTTTCGCGTGCACGCATCTCAGAACGCTATTCGAGGGCGCAACACGCTGCTTTCCCAAAACTAGCACCGTCAGAACAACATAGATGGACGAATCTGAATGCCTCTTCGGAATGTGAGTTTTCTTTGGGACAATGACAAAAGGGGGTCGTCTGTGATATATGTTGACAAAAGTGGATCCTCTGTGACAAAGAAGTGGCGGCGGGGGCGCAAAATGACAAAAGGGGGGCATCCTGGGCGCATTGCTAGAACGGCGCTAGTCCGTCGCAGTTTGCAGCCCGGTTCTACGAGGGCCGACCCCGCAGAAGACCCCCTTTTGTCAATTTTCCTCTTTGGGGTGTTGTGGGTTTTGTGGGGTGTTCGCGACGCCATTTAGACGACCACCCTGCCACTGGCGCATAAGCTGACTTGCATTGGATCTGCATGCACGGAGCAAAATGGTTGCATATTTACTTTGAGATCACAATACCGTGCTTTGTGCCTTTCGGTGATTTTCCTGCCATAAGGGATGATTGAGACACAAGGGTCGCTCAGTACATGGGTGGCGAATTCGTAGAATTGCTTGATAACGATCGCAATTTGTGATTGATGGGCTGTGTTCAATGGGCAAGGTCGTTGGTGACTGTTGTAATGCAATACCGTATTTACCCGTTGTTAGTAAGCGTGTATTGGACCCCAAAATTGAGCGGTGGATACCAGTATTGTGTCATGGGTACTAACATGATTTAGACCCCCTAATCCAAGGAGTAGACAAAGAAAATTTTTGCAAAATAGGCCGTGAAATGCCCAAAAATAGGCTTCAAAAAATGCAAGATGCGATACAGCAACAGCCACATCACCAAGTCAAAATTACGATATCCCAACCAAAAACGCAGAAACGCATTCACAATCAATCGCTGTCCACATCCAGATCTGATGCAAAGCCATCCAAATTCTCATCGACACCCTCCGAATCCTTTCCCAAATCATCAGCTGCTTAAGTTGTGAAGTTTGCAGCCATCAAGTGCATGGCACTATAGGGTGAGCTGTTTGCAGCAACTGTTGCACGTCGAAGGCATGCAACAAGAGTTCTGCGCAAGCAATGACGTGAAAAATAGCTTCTTCTCCCCAAGGTGAGTCCAACGAGCCCTCTTGTACTCGTTTGTGTTGAGGTTTGGGGGTGGATACTAACACCGGGTCATGGATACTAACGTGGTTTCGACCCCCAAAGATGGGGGTGGATACTAAAAAGGGGTGCCTACTAATACCGGGTAAATACGGCAAGGTATTGGCGATACGGCAGTACGGCAAGCGTATTTAATTTTGGGCAAGATCGTACTTAGCAGGGCCTGACACTGCTAGCAAACAGCATGTTTGCGATGCCAGCTGCGATGCCATTTTGGTACAAAATGGTGCCGTCACAGTGACTGCGATTGCATAAAAGTGGCTGCGATGGCATCAATTTGTGCCAAATGGCATCGCAGTTGGCATCGCAAACAGGCTGTTTTCTACTACAGTGACAAGTCCAAAATTGGCAGCCTGGCCATTTTTTTTCATTATGGGTTCTCGCAACTCAGTTGTGAAAAACGTCAGTATGGCATTGTTTCTGTTCTTAGGGGGCATTTTCCCAACTAGATGTTGCCAAGGACACTCTCGTCCAAATGATACATCAGTGGCAAGGGCGGTGGTCTGACCCCGGTCTAGCAGCACGTCTAATGTACAGGGGACGGTCAGAGGACCCCTTTTGTCATTTGCACCCCCCGCGGAGGACCCCTTTTGTCACAGGGGGACCCCTGTTGTCAAGATACCTCACAAAGGAAACCATTTTGTCATTTTGCCTTTTCTTTCGGTGGTGGCGGGGCAAGGGCGTCCCAGAAATAATTGCGATTGGTCAGTGTTCACGCACATGGTGTCGCCAGGTTAGGGCGCTGTGCTTACTGTCGAGCCATTGGTACTCGGGGCGATAATTGGACAAGCTGGCCTAGGTGCGAGACCTTTCTTTCGGTGCCTTTAAAATAAGTCGATAAAATGTGTCGAGCTGGCGATTTCGGGTCTGGGGGAGAGGGGACCGGGGGCACTTTTGGCGGTGGGCTTCCAGGTGGCGATTCATCTGCAGCGCCATGATTCCTTCTCTGTAGCCCTAGGGGTGACGCTCAAGCGCTTCTCACTAGGAAAAAACGGCCAAATAACACTTTTGCAAAACACATAAAACACAATTCATCCAAGTTCTGCACGCCAAGAACACAAAAATAACACAAACCCGTAAACTTTGCACGCGTTTGAACACGTGTTATTTGGCCCTTTTATTCCTAGTGTCTGGGCCATGCAGGCTGCCTTCAACTGAATGCGACTTTGACTTCTTTCCTCCCTTCCCAGTGGTGATCGGTTGGGCTGTCTCCCTGATAGCATAGGCGTCTCGCATGGCTATCCGAGCACCAAGCGGCGCGCGGCATTCCCTGGTTGTGGTTCCAGTCCGGCAACGCACACTCTGTACTGGGTGTTTCTGTTCAAGGACCCATTCGCACCCACGCTGGCCACCTGTAGCCCCTCATGACAACCACGCCAGCTACAGATACAGATGCGGAGGTGCGCAAGAGAAGCGGGCACAGGCAATCAGCTGTTGTACTGGAAGGAAAGGGAGAAGGCAATTCGAACATCCCGGCGGTGTACAGCCGCCAGCGCTTTGAAGCGTCGCACGAATTCGCGTGACGTCTTCCACCGCGCCTTGGGAAGGATCGGTGGCAGCCACCGCGACCTGCGAGCTGCCAGATCATTCTGGCGGCGAGGAGGGCACCCTCGTTTTGACGCACCTCGCCGACCAGAGAAACGCGGATTTTGCTGCGCACGGGACTTCCACGGCGACCCGCGCAGGGAGCGCACCCCTGTGGATCGGCCACGGAGCGCAAATGACGCGGAAGAGTGTCCCCGTCGTCATGCGGCCGCCCGCCGCCCTGGCGGCACTGCTGTGCTTGCTGGCAGGTGTGGGGTTGCTTGCAGCTTTCCGCGCACTTCGCGCCTGCGCTGCGGCCACGCAGGCGGCTTGCAAACTGATCGGCAACGGCCGGAGAGGGGAGATCGCACCGGCTTGCAAAATGCACGCCAAGCGGCGCCGGCGCTTCGCGGCCTCTCCCCCTACCCCTGTGATTTTGATCGCTGTCGCCCACCCCTTCGCTTGCCTCGCGCACGCGCGGCGCACCCAAGCGGGCGATAATGGCGGTGCCTCGGGTGAAGATGGTACCATGGATGGACTCGGATGCAGTCGCTGTTCTCCAGCGCTGGCATGGAGTCTAGAGCGGGCACCAGAAGTAGTTCTCAAGGCCACGGGCTGGAAGCGTCCATCTGCGGGGATGTGTGCAATCTCGCGTCTGCTTCGCCCTCGGCAGAGCGCCTGCGGCATTGCCGTCACATTTGGCGAAGCAAACGCGGCCTGCTGGGCCAGCCGGCCCGCACGCCTGCCTTGATCACACGCACCGCGACGTCTTCCGCGGGAGGACGCTCCCACGGCGTGCGCCGTGTGCTCGAGCGCATCGTGCTCCCCTCGAGGGAGCAGCACGGCGACGTGCACGGCAACGTGTCCGACGACAGGTACATCTGCTGTCGCTCGCCTTCGCTACTCATCACCAAGAGAGGTGTCCCAGTGGGACTGTCCCACGTCCTCCTGGGCGCACGCTTTCGTCGGTAATTGACCTTTCTACTGTACACTCCGGTGTTCTCCGAGCCGGATGGTGTCGCCGGTGTGCCGTGTGCCGATACCGGGCGCCACCTGCCGGCGTTGGCTCGCGCAGATTGCTCTCTCGACATACGCACGAACGCCTCCAGCAGGCAACGCTATCGTCCGTTCGCAACTCTTGCGGTGGTACACTACGGGAAATGGGGGCGTCCACGAGGCGTCCGAGCGGCCTTTGAAGATGGCCTGAGGCTCTCGGACGGTTCCGCGCGTCACCCGGACGTGGCTAGAGTGTCCGAGACCCTGCGTAGGCCAAGTTTTCGAGCCAGCTGGCCCAATTTGTCGTCCATAAATGTCCCCCACTGAACAAAATTGCCATCGGAAACAGGTTTGTTGCAACGGGATGCGGCTCCATGATATTGCGGGTTGCCGCAATGCAGGTGATTTATGGTGTAGTAGTGCACAAATACCACTAATTATTGGTGTAAAGACTTTGTTTAATTTCTGATAATGGTGTACCAATGTGTTGCCGTGAAAACCGTGCAACATGATTTCGTGTCTGCCGTGAACTAAGCACCGCTTCAACACTGCGTTAATTAACGCATGACTTATAAGCGATGTGACAAATCTTGTCTATGCCTTTCAGCATCTGACTCTACACATATAAGCAACCAGTAATGATGCACGCCCTGAGCGACTCTTGCGCAGGTCAGGCCAGAGTATCGGCACAGAGCCTATCAGGACCGCTCGCCTGCAAGTGCACCGACGTCGATCCTCGATTCGGCGACGACAAGCACCTGAAAGTCGTCAAGGGGCTGTGCTTTGAGCACTTCCTGAAGGGCAATTGCCAGAAAGGGTTCATGTGGAATACGATTGATGAAATAACCGAAGGTTTGCATCGAAGGTTCAAAAACGAAAGTTCTTCAGCTCTTGCTTGAAACTCAGTGGAGGCAGGCTTTGCTACAATGCAGAAGAAATGATATTGCAATGATTGGCGAAGCATTTACGGGGATCTTGGTCCTTGACATGTGGCGACAGACTTTGAAAAAAGTGGTCCGAAATATTGAATTGATGGAATTGCGGTGTGCGCACGGAAAAGCTTGGGATCCGCAGAGGCGCATGCGCACTCATGACTCTCCAGCCTTTGTTGCCTGGTTACCTCTTCCGGTGCCATCAACTATCATCTGCATATGTTTCTCGAATAGAGGGGACCGCCGTGGCTAGTTTTCCTCTTTGAAAAATCATTTTCATCGTCCTTACTTGTGGCACTCGCCACGCCACGTTGAACTACCCCCTTCTCTGAGGTATACTTGGACACAATTCTCTACCATGTGCACATTTCGCTCTACAGACGGTTTGCCAAACATTTCGGATTTTGGCAACATTTGCTTCAATTTAATTTGGATCAAATTGAATGAGATGCTGAAAACTCGAATCGATATTTTAGAGTGTGCAATACACGGCTTTACTGTTTTTAAAATATGCTCCCAATCAGATTGTCACTTGAGAATTATAAGTGTAATCTTTCGCCATCAATGACTCGTTGCGCAGGATTTTGCCAGATCACGTGCGGGCGGTGCGACTGCTGCAGAACGCTCAGGAACGTCGCTACGGACGAAGGGCTTTCGGAACTGGTCTGGGCCTTTGAAATATCCGGCCTTGGAAACTTGCTTAACGCACCTGGATGGGAGGTAGCCATACTTGGGCCAAGGAATGGAGCATTGCAGCGCCTTCTTGACAGCCTCGGTGGGTATGCTTTTATTCACCCCAAAACATACTATAATCGCGCTGTACTAAGCTCGTCCATGACCTTGTAAGCGACCTCGTAAGCGAGGCTGCTTCATACAATGCAGCGGGCCTCCGACCAACATCGGTGCTGATTCGTGTTCATGAACCAGCACCCACAATGATGGGTACCTATCATAAACAACGTTGCGACAAAATCGCCTGTGTAACCACTTTTCCCGAGATGGCACCGGCGTTGCTGCTCCTTGGGAATTATAAAATCATCCCATGAATGATATTTCTGACGCTAGCCCACTGAGCTATGAATCTACGCAAGTACACACCGGAATGGACGTGGCCGAACATAGCAAATCGTATTGCCCCGTACGGAAGCCGCCGCGTCTTGTATTGTCTTTCGAAAGCCAGACCCGAGATCTTCGGCAATGTTGCCACCTTGCTGCAAAGAGGACTTCTTGGTACTATCAGGCTGAAAAGCTTTTCTTAAGATTGTTGGCAGGCTCGCTTTGCCGAATTGCCAAAAGCTCATCAAAAATTTTGAACCTGTTCTCAACAGCTCCCGAGGCGGAAGTACGTCTTACGCCTAACTGTGGAGAAATTTAGCTCAACTACAATCAGAGCATCAATAATGTAAAGTTTCAGATATCTGGAGCATGAAATTGATGCGACTTCGATATTCAGGGTCATTTCAACTACCTCCAAGCATTGCGTAAGCCCACGCAATCTGCCTTTTCTTCCATAAAATATGTAGCACAAACGCACACTGCACGACTGCGCATTCTAAATCCAACGAAACAGTAACGCAATTGAAACACAAAGGACTTTGTCACATGAATTGCATGAATCGATGCATGGGGCGATTTAATGTGTGCATTAATGAGATGCAAGCATGCCTTAGTGCTGATACATCAATCTTCAAGCATACTTGCATTTTTTCATCCCACTCCAAATTTGGGTGATTACTGCTCAAACCGTGTGCAGGATTCACCGTTCAGGACGTTGAGTCCAACAGCAAGTGGGCGAGGGTGCTGGGGGAGGCCCTGAAGTTCAGCGTCCTCAAGGCCGATCCGGATCTGCGCGCCGTCTACACGGAGGCTTTCCTGCACGACGGCATGGAGCTGGCCACAGAATTCGACGACCACCAGCGGCTGAAGGTGCAGAAGGACGGCGGCGGAACCGTCAAGTTCGTGGGGCCTATGGGCAGCGCGACGGTGCTCGAATGGGACAAGCCCAGCTGCAAGGTGTGCTGCCCGAGCCCTCGGCTGCGGGCAGTTAGTGGCGACAGAAAATTAACAGTGTGTTTATGCGGATATATGAATTCAGGTGGACGGAATTTTCAGTTAAAAAATTGCAGTTACGAATACATGGCCCGGTGCGGGCCTAATGCGTGGCTCAGTGCAATATGGGATGCTCAATGTTCGGATATTCAGCACTGTTGCAATCCTGCTTAATTGATTCAAAAGATTGCATGCAGACGTCACAAACAACCATTTTCTGGGATAAAATAGTATTCTTTTAAACGTATCACGTTTTAAAATAGGTTTTCAAATGCGCAATTTGACGAAATTTTGTGTCGAATTATGTGAGAGGCCAGCGTTCATTCCAGAGGTGTTAAGGCTGCAATACATGAGGGCGCTTGTGCAGCGGCATTTGATGCGAACGATCCATGTCTGATCTTCTGGGAGCTATTTCCACAATGCGAGTTGCAGAATTCTCGTGTATCGCTGCTCCGTTTCATTGTATCGATACTGTGTCTTGCTCGACGTTGCCAAGATCCTGAACCCGAAAAGTGAGATCTTAGTTGTCTATAGCAAAATCAACCGCATGGCAGCACGCGCCACAATGCCATCAAAATTTTGAGTTGCAGCTTCGTAACATGCATCCGCAGACTTGCATCAGCGCAAAGTTTGGCTCGAGATAAGCTTGGTGTTGCTCTGAGGGTGTATTCCATCGAACAAATATCGGCGAAAATCGGCGAAATAAAATTGTCAACTTCTAGGCGTGGCGTCGCTGACCGCGCCATGCAGATTGGGAACAGATCTCCGCAATAGACTGCAAATTATCTGATGCTGGGCTCACCAGCGGAAACGAGACCCAGCATTATGCCTCCACTCGATACCGCTCATTTACGCCTCCATTCAACGAATGGCGTAACACAGACACACGATTTCCAAAGTGCTTACGCACATATTCGCATTTAAGTCATGTACAATTTGCTCTCCCAAAATTCTTCGAAATGCAAGAGAAACTGCTGAAGCGGGATCTAGCAGACACTTTCAGTGGCTCTTCTGGAAAGCCTTTTCATCGCATAGCAGCAGATCTTTGAAATATCTCTTGAAATATCTAACCCTGGGCTTATCCAGCGGCTTGATGCGCAGGGATACATCCACATAGTTGACGAGTACTTGGTGCCTTCGGCGGACTTCGGCACGTATCTGGAGGACGTCACCGATGTTGGAGAAACGGAGGGGTACTGTGAGACGGCAACATCCAAGCAATACGATGGACAGCTGGTGGACACCAAGCAGACACAGTCGCCAGGAGATTGCTGCAGGAAATGCAAAAAGAACAAAGGTCAGCTTGCCTGAGGCGCGGCGTCGCGCATTTTAATGGCAGTTTAAATTGATTCATTCTGATGATGCGCGATTGCTTATATTGTTGACACGAACCTGTATTTGCACGTTTAGTGCTCGAAAGCTGTTGCTGCTCGTGAGACGCCCTATAGAACGACAGCTTGGCACTCGCTCGGCTTTTCAGAAGTGAATCATTGTCGCAGGAAATAGTAAACATGCTTTCTGAATTGAAGAATCAATAAATTATTTTCTATTAGCGCAGGATGATAATTTTTTGAAGTTATGGATTCATCGTGCAATTCCGAAATGTTTTTGAGCCATGTTTTGCAAAGAACGGGGCCATTGGACCAAAAACTTCGGTAGATGCGAGGTGCAGTAGCTGCATGTTTTTCATTAGCACTCTAGATTTTGGATGATATTTTCTTAAATGTACTGTGCTTGCACCAATATTGGTATGTTTCTGCTGTTTTCAGCAATAATACGGGCAGCAATTGAAACATTCATTGAGGATATATGTATATTTCTCTGCTGTAGTGGAATCAAAATACTGTACACTAGCAGAAAAGGAACAAATACACTTTTTGCATGTCATCAGTTTTTCGCATGCTGAAAGCACGGAAATAGCTCAAACCCGTAAATTTGCACATATATACCCGCTTTAAACGTGTTTTTTGGCCCTTTTTTCTTAGTTGTAGTATATTCAACCCTTACGCATGTTGAAATTTCAGCCTTGCAGCGTAGTAAATATTTCTGCTCTGCATTTCGCGACTGCCATCGTTGCGGGACTCCGCATCATGTCCGAAGGCGGAATGGCGCCTCCGCTGAGTTTAAATGGCCTCAAAACATTGTTTTCCTCGACAAACACTCGTGTATCTGAAGCCTCTAGTCGCCACGAGCGCTCCAGAGACTCTCGCGTTGCGGCTGGTGCTGCTCCGCATATTCCTGGCACCGTTGCGTTTTACTGTGGCTTCCCATAAGAGCCAAAAGGTGCATTTCAATGGGGAAGGGTATAATGTATATAAGGGTACAGATGCATGCTCTCAACGTCCACAGCAACGCGATGCGTCGATTTCGTAATATTCCCGTATTCGCACAATATGCGATTCACAGCATATACCAAATTAATCGACAATATGCTGACGATGATATTTTGCTCTTGTCAGACTGCACAGTCTGGACCTTCTGTGCCAAGCCCTCCGGATGTCAGGAGAGGAACTCCCCCATCATCCCGTGGGGCACATGCCACCTATTATTCGACGTGGCCCTGACCCAAGGCCGAAACCCCACCACGATCCGCAGCGACGAGTTGACGCCCTACCATTCAGGAGTTTTCAGAAGATGAGAGCCAGAACTTGAAGAGCAATTTCAGAAAATGCATCGATCAGCCGCTGCTGATGGCGCCGAGTAGCTTAAAGTACTGAATTTAGCGAATTTGTGCTGTCGTTGATGGCATCAACGTCAGAGTGGGCAATTAAGGTGCCATTGTTTGTGCAGATATCGAGAGCATCTGAAGGTGGAAGAGTGCTTGAGTGGACTGCACAGTAATGAAGCATGATTGAAGCTTTCATAATTCCAATGCAGAACTGTAGATCTGGAGCAGATTTCCTTCTTGTTTTACGTTGGTCGACGATAGCCGCCTTGTCTGGCAGCGTGTAGCCATCGCAGAACTTCAGAAATGATAAATGCCGCGAGTACATGCAATATCGATGGCACGAGTTCTGTGCACAAGACTAACCCATATTCTGCAAGTCACAACCGCACCCAGAAATTGAATGCCGTACCTTTGACGCGATTCTCCAACCGAGCCTTTCTCTTACGGCTGAGCTGCTCTGTCAAGCGGCCCTACCGTGAAATTTTCCCATCCTTTTGCGATCTGCACGTCTGCCCATTTTTATTGACCCCGAGCCAGAGATGCCTATCTAAGGCAACGGCGGTGGGGCCTCTAGCTCTCTTTGGGCAAAATGCAGAGGAGAACCGAGAAAGTTAAAACTAATTTGGCATCGTTACGGCTGGCCATTAATTTTCATATGAACTTTCTTTTGGATTTATCTCGCTCTGAAGTCATTTTCGGGGTGCTATGATGCACGGGTCTCTTCTGTAACTGTCACCAGCAGAAATCGATATTTTTGCGATGCCAACTGCGATACCGTTTGACACTAACTGATGCCATCACAGCCACTTTTGTGCCATCGCAATCACTGTGATGGCGCCAATTTGTGTCAAAATGGCATCGCAGCTGGCATTGCAAACACGGCGTATTCTGATAGTGTGTAGTGTTGAGCATCTAATTTCAGAAGCTATGATACCTGCAAACATTGAAGCAATTCTCTGCAATAAAAGATACAGCTCTGTCAGGTACTTATATAAGTCCATGAGGAATATATTTCTCATGAAAACAGGATAATTGCCGTCGCGATTCCCATGCAGCACAGCATAATCGCTCTCATCCAGGCTTATTATTTACGCGGCAGAAACTAATTGCATTTAAAACTTAAGCTTAAAAACAATTTTTACGTTTTTGCGCGCAGAAACAGTTTGTGCGTTTTCACACGTAAAGCTTGCAAAGCTACATAAATGTAACGTAAATACAGTGTAAATAAGGACAGTACATACATAATTAACGAGTCCGGGCAGTGACACCCAGATGTACTGGAATGGGCAGATACCGAGTTTTTGTTCCACGCCGTCGTGGCGCTTGCCAAGGGCGAAGTGGAAGCTGTGTTGCGAGTGCTGGAGGGGGGGAAGGTCTGATTATTGGACCCGGTTTTCGTCGTGTAACCTTCGTGTCACAGAGAGCAGCAAAAACAGCACTTTTTGCAGTTTACCTTTTGCGCAAAAAGCGTAAATGTAAGTAACAAGCCTGTACTCAGCTTATTGATTAAGTTGCCAGTACGCGACAGAAATCTTTGGCGTTTTCATGCTTTGCTAATCAACGCAGCTTCCAAATTTGGCATACATACATTCAGATGTACTAAAAAATGCAGGTGGTCATGGAATAGTATTAGGGATTGAGTTCAAAATATTCCTTCAAAGTTTGGAGGAAAAATTCTGGAATTCAAAAGCCGAGATAATACCCCAACAAGAGGAATGGGCACTTCAAGTTTTGGAGCAACTTCCTGTTGCACGGATTATTCTGTGTGCGACTGATTTTGCAAGGTGCCAGCAATGTCCAAATCAATGTTGCGTTACATATATCCCAAAAGCTCAATCACATTTTGCACGGCATGGTTCTCAAGTAGCTCAAATGTATTTCATTGCCTGGGCAGAAGCATCACCCAAATGCCCCAGAACACCCTCTCCGGCTCGAGCGGCAAGGGGTTCCGCCGTACATTTCGCTCACCCAAAAACAATTTAATTCCGGTGGAGGTGCCCAGCCGATAGGAAGGGGAAGTGATTGGTTTCGAGCCATTAGCAGAAACCCGGCTAATATCGCTGCCTTGGAGTGAAACGATTGACGAAGGTTAAATCAGCTGCCGCCTGGTCCTGCCATTTTCTTGGCGACTTCATTTCCCTAGCATGGGGATTGAAATCTAATTGCTCCAATTGGGGCGATATCCCCTACACCTACTTCACATACCATCAGGCCTTCATTGTTTTACAGCGGCCTTTGGCTTTTCGGAATGGCGCCCATCAAAGCGGTGTGTGGAGTAGGGGGCGGCTTCCCGCCCTTCAAGAAAGTTACGGATTAGGAGCCACTCCGAAGAGCAGCACCACGTAACGAGCTGCACCGATGGGCGAAGGGGAAGGAAATCCAATATGCTTTAATGCTGACGTAGCTGTGCGCAGGAGTGCAGCACGGCGTTTAGACAGCAGCATTGGCACAAGAAAAGGAGTCGCGGTTGTATGTCTCGCCAACAAGAGCGATCACATGTACAATGCAAGGGCAACGGTGGGCGCGATGAAGACGCTGAATGGCGGGAAAGCGTGCGGCGTGCCTCGCTCGCTGCCTGCACCTTGCGATCCGGAGTCAAGCGCCCTTCGGAATGCTCAGGAAACATTTTTACATCCGATTCTTCGATATGATAGCTGTAAGGGCGGTAGAGGCACAGCGTGGCCGACATCTCGAAGACGCTGCGAGCTCCTGCGACCTGCGCGACACTGCGCACGGACATTTTAAGCTCCTCAGAGGTCACTGAGCGTCAAAACGCTTTGGTCGCGCCGCGGTTTTCGCGACTTCGATTATCAGAATTCTCACCCAATTCAGGTGGCCGCTGAAGGTGACTCTCGGCCGCCGCCCGTTCTCCAGCCAGGCGGACGCGCAGCCGCCCACCTGGAGACCTTCCACGCCGTACAAACTCTGTCCGAGAATCACGTTGACTTCCTGAAATGGGCGCAGCAGCCGCGTCACACGCACGCGCCGGGCACGGGCGTGAGCGAGCGAGCGAGAGCGAGCAAATCCCCTCTCATCATCGCGCCTGCAGCGCCACCGTCGCTCTAGCGCGGCTTCACCGTGGTTATATTACTTTCCTTCCTCGTAGCAACGTAACGCTTGGTCTTTTGCCGGAGAAAACGATAAAAACATAGCGCCCTTTTAACAAAAAATTTGCTGAGCAACGTAGACAAAAACAACGCTCTGAAAAGAATGCGGAACTCAAAGCGTAACAGTACAGTTGTTTGATAGGAAAGTGTTGAAAATACTACGTTAAGTCAGTGAAAATTTTCGGTGGTCGGGCCCACTGCCCTGCTGAAGGGCTACACTCGGCCAACGTGTTTCGCCTCACTGCACCGACAGCAGGAAAATATTGTGAGGCGGGGATGCCCCGAATGCACTCAGAACCGAAATTAAGCCATGTCCCCGTTGCCCTCGGGCCCACCAGGGTCAACGTGTGCAAGGTCACGGAAATTGGCCAACCGCGTCCAGTGGCGTTCTGTGGCGTGGACTCCCTGCGAGGGATGCCCCACAAGAGCTTGACGCTCGCCCTCCCGCACGACTTGAGCTCGATACAGACCCTCCACAGGTTTTGAAGGTTCAACACCATCGACGTGCTGTAGTAGGTGACCAAGGCCTGGGCCATCTGCGACGACGGCGGTGTGGCGACCGGTCAGAGTTCGACTGACGGATGGGGCAGAGGTGCAGGGCGCGGGCAGAAAAGTCGTGCGCACATAGTCGCGGTAGAAATGGAAGGCCATGATTCCTTCCCGCTGGAGCCCGGCGCCCATCGGCGGGGGGAAGTGGGGCTGTCAAGCGAGCCAGCCGGCGAGAGACAGCAAAGGCAGAGGCGGCACGGGAAGAGTGGCGAGGGGAAGCGATGGAGTCAAGTGCGGAACGGCACCGTTGAATTACGGTATTGAGACGTCATGCAGGCTCTTGGGAACCGCTGCGAGTGCAGCATGCTCCGCGGGTGCCTCTGTTGCCCCGCATCACTTTCAAATGTGGAGGATTTGCGGCGGAATGTCGTTCAGTGAATCAGAAGTACTCGATACCTCTCCGTAGTTGAACCAGGGCTGAAGAGTGAGTCGTTGCTCTTGCACGGGCGCGGTGGAGTGTAAGGTCCACGCCCCTCACTGCGTAGCGTTGTGCAGGTCGCCGAGGACAGAATCTTCTTCAAAAATCTGCCGCGCATGCCCTCCGTGGCTCAGGAGGCATGGGCAGTGAGCGTGGCCGATGCTTTTCACGCCCTTCTGTTGCAGGGCTGCAGCTGCCGCACCGAAGAGCTGAATACGGAAATATATCCAGACCTGGATAGGAATTTTCGATGCGGTGTTGGAAGCAAAATGGAGCGCATTGGTCAATGCACAAACAAACACTTTTTTTGACACTGGGGGCCCCGGCGCAAGTGATGACACTATGTAGATTTTGTTACGCTTGGCGTCAATTTGACGATAAGGGTGGGGTGGTGGTTGGGGCTCTGCTTAACGTCAAATTGACGCTAAGCGCAACAATATCGACACAGCGCCTTCCCTAATATATTCTCATGAGCGATGAGTCGACGAGCACAAACGTCCGCGGCAATCTGACACGCAGTACATGCAGTAAAATAAAGTTATTGACTTCAACGTTGCCACGAACCACTGGTAGTCTGGACCTCAGTGCTGATGTCGCCGGATGATGGCCGACAAATAGCCCCCCGACGCGCCCAGTCCTGCCCATGCGCCAGCTTGCAATCCCAACCCCCCGTCCTCCATGGGTGACCCCCTGTCACATCACCGGCGCCCCACGCGCATGAATCACGAAACTTACCCTCCGCCCCTGTCCCCGATCGCCTCGTCGCACCCCGCGCTCTGGCTTGCTGCGGGCGCTCGGAGGGCGCAGGGCACAGAAAAGAGGAGCCACCTGGCCGAGGGAGGACGGACCTGGCGGGTGTGGGGCCCCTCGAGCTGGCAGCTCGCGCGAACTCGAGCTCCTGGCCGTCGAGCAGCCTCCGTGTGCCGGACAGCCTGGTAACCACTCTGAGGGGGCAAGGGGCGGGGACTGCGCGCCATGACGGAGGCGGACTTCTTCGAGTCGGCGGTGGACGCCAGGCCGGGGCACGGCGCCAAGGGGTGCGGCGAACGGGTACTCGCGCGGCGCTGGCGACCTCCGCGGATTGGATACCAGCGGCGGGCGCCCGAATGCGACGGGATCAATGCAGTAATCGACGCCAGGCGGCCCCGTGGGGGTCGCGATTCGGCCGTGCGGAAATCAGCCGGCGCCGTGGGAGCTGCGGAGCCCGAGGGTGGACCCCGCGGCCCACAATGCTGCGGTCGCCGGTCGTCGCGGCAGCAAATCGTGGCCGCTCAGTCGCTATCCCGGTGTGCCTGGGCCCGACCGCGAATTCGTGCAGCCCTTCGCGGACACCGACGCCCAGGCGGCAGTCCCTGGCGATCGGGGCCGCACTGAATTCAGTGCTCATTCGAATGAGCTATAGGCGCCTCGCGAGCTGGAGAGTCCGGAATTGGGCCCAGGGTTTGGTCTCGAGAAGCAGCGTGACCTCTCTACGTTTTGGAATTGTTCAATGTCGGCTCGAGCGCTTCTAAGCTGTATATGCGACTGCGAGGCCTCGCCCGTGTGCTGCGTCTCCGTCGAGCTGGAGGAGGGTTGTTGAACTGGGGGGGCTCGGCTGCGCAGGAAGTCCGCGGTCACCAAGGCGCCTGACATGGAGATGCAGGCCTCCCGGACGCAGGGCAACAGGCCCAATGTGCACCAGCTGCAGCAGGAGGAGCTGCAGCCGTGGTACTGGTGGGTGGCGTGCTGCTTCCCGGAGGCGGCCGTGCCTCCTCCAGGTGAGGGCGCGTGGGGCGCGGGGCTTGGGGGCGCCGCGTTCGATGGGAAGGGTTGTGAAGCTGGTTGAAGGCGGAAGTGGTGCGAAGGGATGGCATGGCGTGCACGGGCTAACTGTGCGAGGAGGAGAGGGGATCCACTCTCCTCACCAGTAACTCCGTAGTTAAGGGCGCGTCGAACTTGCGAAGGGGCTGGCAGGGGCCGCATTGGGCTTCTGGTGTGCGGGGAGAAGGAAGACCGCGGGCTGGTATCTTGTCCAGGACAAAATTGCAAGGCTTGCGGGCTTGGACAAATCTGCAGGAAGCATGCAGTATGCAACGGGGGTGGTTTTCAAGGAAGCAGGGTCCTGCATACAGGGCAGCGTTTGAGCAGCTGTTTTATTTGGTATGGGAGATGATATACATCCTTTTGCGTTCGCTCTTTGACCTGGAGTGGCGGAATCTGGAACAAAAGGGAGACTGCCTAATATGGGAGCCAAAAGGAATTGGACTTGTTTGGAAGTCAAGCGGAAAACTTTCAGCGCACATCGTGAACATTGTGAGCCGTGGTACACATCGTGCACTTCTTCATCGTCACCACTCCAAAGTTTTCAGAATAAACAGGCCCGAAAGTGCTGAGATCTACCCAAAAATGGTGGAAGATAATTGCAGCAAGCAGCAATTCGGTGATAGTACGAGCGGGGGCGTCACTGCCCGGTACGTTCCTAGATGCTCTTGGTTTGTGTGCAGCGGGTTATCAATATCAGTGCACACAACAAAAACAGCAGACCGTTGAAGACACGTGCTCGTGAAGCTTCACGAAGAGGGCCTGTCTGACCCACGCATATGGTCTTGTAGGCGCCCACCAGGGCGAGCATCAGTCCAACATACCAACGGGGGCCACGGGTGAGATAGCCTGGGAGGAGCCCGTGGCTGTGGCAAAGCCAATCGAGGAGGTAGATGAGGACACTGCCGACCAATTCAAGACGGCGCGGTCCATGTTCACCATGGCCAGCACCAACGGCATGAGCCTGATTCGGATGCAGCAGCTGGACAAGGTCGCGCCGGCGGCCGTGCCGACTGCATCAAGTGGGTTGACTCACGTGGGGTCTTATACGAACAGCAACTCAATGTGAAAAGCAGCGAAAAAGCTGTAAAGGACTGCGGGATTCATAGAGAACGCGGCAGTATTGAGAATGAGCTGAAAATACAATTTCATTCACTCAGAAAATTTGAAATATGTGATTTCATTTATTCAAAATGAGTTTAAACATCCAAGTAATAAGTTGAATGCTTGGCATAATGTAAGCACATAAGTGAAAGTGTGCGCAATTGCCGAATTGTCGATGGAGTCTGGTACCCACTATGTCTCAAGTTCACCCTGGTGCCCACTCCTGCAGAGAGCATTTCAAGGCTGATGCGACATTTTTTCATGACAAAAGTTTGCCGTTATTCCACTGGGTGCTGCACGCGCGCTGAAGTTGCCCGACATGCATCTGTGAGTCCTTTCGATCCCGATAATTTCCTTGCATCAACGGCTGCACATGTAGGTCCTGAGCACAATCCACGCCCTAAAGTCAACAGCAGCTTGTCGAAAAATTCCCTCCATTGCTCTTGCTTACTGTTGGCGGCAGACACGGCTGAACGTCCTTGCACCAGTATATCCTTTCATTTCTAGCTGTGGCTCTGCCAATGGCGCTAATTCGCTGTCTACTGCTGTGCAGTAACAAACACCATTCCGCTGGTTGTGTCGATCCCGGACAGCATGGGCGTCGGCGGCAAGTGGATGAAGGACATGGCCAGGAGCGACCCCAGCCCTGGCGCATGCGACAAGGTCCTTAAGGCCAGCTATTTGGTGACGAGCATCCGAGCGAAGATCAAGGAGTTTGAGGTGCGTCGGATTTTTGTGTGTCGCCATTGCTGGAAGATTTCGCACCAGAATGACATTCGTGAAATGGAATGTGGTTGAAATAAAAAAGGTGCCGTTAGGGTCTGGCTGAGAGCTTCTTGGTGGCAGTCGATTCGTATGTGCATGGACAGAGGCCGTATCCCGGGGCATGCACTTCTGAAGTAGCATCAGCAGAATGCTTGAGCATATGCTGCCCATTGTCCAGCATATTCACCTCACGGCATCTTTCAAACTTTGCCATTCTGAATAGTTTTGTCTGGGTGCATCGCGAATTTCAATGAGGACGAGCTAGTATTGACATTTGAATGCTTATAACTTAGTCTCGGGTGACGATGTAGACTCACAGCCATGATGCCATTCAGTCCAAGCGCTTCCGCACCAATCGTCTAGCGAGTCCTCGTGATGGAGTTGTGTCGAAAACGCCCAGGAGAGCAGGTGCTGTGAATGAAATTTATTCCTTTTCTGCGAAATATGATGCACGGGGGAACTTTGTTCTTGCAGATTCGCGATGATCTCAAGACCATAGGCTTCAACGTGAAGGTTCCGGTAATGGGGATGGGCCACCGCCTTGAATCCTTCCCGAAAGATGGCACCCTCCAAGAAATATCTGGCAGGCGAGACGACAAATCTGGCAGGGCTGTCGGGCAGGCTTTGGCCCTCATGGACGGCCGGATACTCGTCAGGTGCGAACTGACCATACCGTAGTTACATTCAAACCTTCTGCATAGTAACTTAGCGATTGGGCGTGTCTGCGGAGAAAAAAATAAGGCACATAGCGCTCTTTTAACAATTTTATTGCAGAGCAACGTAAAAACAAGTAAATGAACGTCCTGAGAAACAAAATGCGGAGCAGAAAGCGTATCGGTCAAAATTTTTGATGCGGAGGGGTTGAACATACTACGGTAAGGTGCAGAAGGGGCACCACGAACCAAAACCACACCAGTAAGCCAAGCTTGCTGGGTGTCAAGCCTTGACAGATGATTGCCTGTTTCGCACTGCTTATCATCGCATTTGAACATCGTGCTGGTCCCCCGGTATACAGCCAGTACACGAGTTGGCGCAAGGATGTGTAATAATGCTAATTAATATGCACATGTGTATCCACGGCAGAGTTGATTCGTGGGGTGGCTGCTGCATTGCCTCTCAGCCTCGTAATGGCGACACTGCTCCAGCAAGGTTCCATTGAATGCCTCATCACTTCGGCGAAACTCAATATTTTGAAAGTATGGACTTTCGCCGCGCTCAAGCTATCGCATTGAATGCTATTGTTCAGAAATGCTTGCTGGTCAGCGCGAATCTCTGGGACATGGACAGCCTATGGCCCACAACTACAGCAGTGCACGTACGTGTGCACTATGGCAGTGGCTGTTGTGGTCCTTGTTGCCAATGTCCATGCAGGGTGTTCTGGTGTTCCACCTTCATCAACATCGGCGACGATTTACAGTTCTGCCAAAAAAAGACCTCACAGCCGCCTACAGCACAGTAAGCTAATGTGTGGTGCACGCATCCCCAGGGCGTGGAACCTGGGATCCAGTCCCGAGGTCATGTGGGTGGAGATACTGACCTTCAAGAGCCCCACCAGTCTCGAGACCGACCATTACATATACACCCTCGATGGCAAGCAGGAAGGCCACCAACGGTGAGTGCACACCTGCGACTGGGCAGCGAAAGTGCGCCCATTCTCCAGTGCATGAATGGACACATTGGTTGAGACTCTTGGCGCCCTTCTTTATCAGTGTACAGCATTTTGTAGTGCTGCATGGGGAGCGCGTTTGCTCAAATATTTCCCACTGGCCTTTGCAGGGATTAGTTAAGCTCCACCTGTAACAATGTACTGCAGTGGTCCCTGGCAGTTGCATGTTATCATCCAACGCACTTTTTGGCAGCTTCCATTTACTTGAGTCAATGGACGTCCAAGCACGTCAGGGACAAGGCTTGCACATCATTTTTTACCTGTTCTACAATGCGCAATTGCAGTAATATTCTAGTGCGTTTCTTTCTGAATGCTGGCAGCCGTTTCCCAGCGGTGGTTGGCGCCACTGGCCGAATACTGATTACTGGTAGCGTCAGCGAGTCCCCAGTGCCATGAAGACTGAACCGAGTCCCTCACAGCCTGCGTTGAGCCACGCAAGCTCACATACCCCATGCTTGGTTCAGAAGTATATCAAACTTGTTCGAAATGCACAGAACCATGTTCGGTATTTGCATGTCCAGACCCTTGCTTCTGCGAGCCCACCGCCTCTGCAAGGGTTTCTGGAGCTCGAAGCTACTCAGAATTCGGACTGCCAATTTGGACCGGGAGCAGCATCAGATGCTCCCAGTCGAGGGCGCAAGCGAAATATACTCACGTCCTCCGCCTCGCGGACAGGGTGATGTGCAGTCACAAAGCCCCAATGGTCAAATGAACGTTTCCTCGTGCGCCAGCTACGTGTATAGGTCGGCACTGACGGTTAAATGCCTATTTACCTCAGCCCCATGGATGAGCAGAGCAATACGTGCTCTAACAATGGATATACGCTACATGCATAGTGAAAGGGAGCGCGGGGGCTGAGAGGATGTATCTGGAGGGGCACCGAGGAGTGTTGCTTGTTTCCAGGACTGCATTAGGCCCCGTCAGCAGTGGAGGGCTGGCTGCTGAATTTGCATTCGTGGCTGCTTCCCCGCAGGTCCGTGTCGTTCAAGGTTCACTGATGGGGCGAGCGGTGGATGCGGACGACAGGCATGCAGCATAGCCATTGCCGGCACTTGGTGAGAGCGTGCCTGGCGTATACCTTTTCGAGTTTGTTGTGAACATGGATTTTGCAGGGAAGAGAAAATTTGGGAGGCGTCTAGAAGCAAAGCCTTTGGAGGGCAGGGGCGGTGGGAGGTGGCGATGGAGAAGCGCGCCGCTCAACTGACAGCCCCCGGCAGCAGACAGCTCAAGTTTCTCAGTTTCAAGCTCGAGGATGTTCCAAAGAATGGGCTTTGTCGAGCGAGGGGGACCGTTCGGGGCGGGACGCTCGTGGCGCGTAAATAATGCCTGCTTCCTTTTCACAAAGACGCAACGGCCGAAATAAGAAACGACCTTGGTGGAGTGGCTTTTTGTGGAGATGCTAATGATTGTAGGGTCCCGTCCTGGTGCTAACACCGGGGCAACGGTAAAACTGTAAACGCATCCATATGAGCACCGAGATGACCCCTGTTGGGGTTGGGGTTGGGGTTGGGGTTGGGGTTGGGGTTGGGGTTGGGGTTGGGGTTGGGGTTGCGCTTGGGGGCGGGGAGTCTCCACTTCTCGTCAATGAAGCTCCCTTTCTGGTGCAATGCTGCCTGCGCAGCACTTTCCAGTCCAAGTATGCCACAGATCCCCATACTCTGGTCGAGATATAGGGTTCAACATTGGTTTATATTACGCTGCATCTTATGCAGCACCATGCATTTCCGGAAGCTACGTGGCTTGGGCTTTGCTGTGGAACCACAGAAATAACAAAATGACGCTATCTGGTACTAGGACGTTGCGAACTACTTCGAAGTACATCTCTGTACAAGTCGCTGCAGCGCACGTGAGCGAGGGGTACTGCGCACGCACATCGCTGGGCCGACGAGGCAAGCACCCAAATAATACTAAAACTGCCATCTTACGCTCAAAGCACTACAAGCCCACTTATGCTATGGACACCAGCGTGCCGTGGGCGCTGCAATGGCGCCATTTTAGAGGCTCACAATGCCCAAACCCAGATCTTGTTTTCCATCTGCAGTAACTTTGTGAATGCATCACCATGATGTGCACAATGGTCGAGTGAGTGCGACACTTGTCTGGCAAGCTCCAAGTGTACATTCCTTTGGCTAGCATGGAGCCATGACACGACGAACATCGCGAGTTATTGGCGCATGAAATGCCTCTCCAATTGGTCGTCCCCCAGTAACGGTGGAAGCACCGGCGCTGAATGAGGCCAGCCAGACATCAGCAATCTTCCCAATGCTCAGAAATTTGCTCTTGTCTGGTAAGTGTCATACCACTGACAGTTCCACCCAATCAAAGACTGTTTTGCATCTTTCGACCGAGGCCATTCGTCATCTGTCGCCGCGGTCTGCATGTCGACTTCCCTTCATTACGCAGTGACATTTTCAACAGCGCCCGTCAGCGCCCATGGCACGCCGCCGCCCCCATTCATCGCCGGTGTGTCAACGCGATGATTGGGGGATCATGGTGCCGCTCCCACAGGCTATTCGGCACGTGTTCCTGCCCTTCGTCGTCCCCTTGGGCGATGTGCAACGGAAGGCAATTGGGTGGCGCTTGCGCAGAAAAACGAGGAAACCAAATTCCTGAAAAGGAGACGCACACCTGTCGAAACGCTAAATATGCTACTGTTGTGCCAGCGATGCCAACACACTTTGAACACGGGTGGAATTCGACGTCCCAATGTGGATGGCAATCTTGCGTAAGGGGTAATTATAAGCCAGTTCAGTGACGGCTCTGACGTCGAGCGCCACAGCCCTGTCGCCAAGGCATGCCCACAAGCCATGCGAGCTGTGGCGGTCCGCAGAGAGCAGAAAACTAACCCGAGACATCTGCGGCGTTGAGGCGAAGTCTCCGGAGAGAGGCGTCGGAGTCGGCAAACGGCAAGATGACACGATGAGCTAGATGTTACAGAGCAGTTTCCTGTCGACAATCGAATCTAAACAGCCTCCAAGACGCGCCACAAAACCCGCACACGCGCCCCCGACGACTACAACCCCCCTCCCAGTGGCCATCCCGGGCAACGTTGCAACCGGAATCCCCCAGAACCCAGGGCCCCCCGCCAATGCCACAGCGCCCTTGTCGTACAGGAAGCCTCGGCACGCCTTCAAGCGTATTGCAGAATTCTGCTCCCGACGCTCCTGACCCCGCCGTTAGCTTTCGCCCCCTCCACCTTCGCCACCTCCAGCACTTGGTTTTCGCTGCCCCCCTGCTTCCCGTTCTCGTCGTCCGTCTCCGGGGAGGTGCTGTCCACCAGCGCGCAGCCGCCGTTGGGCGCAGCCCGGTACTGGCTGAGGGCCTCCTCCTGCCTCTCGGCCCGCAGGAGGAACCTGTGGTAGAAGGTGCGGAGGGAGGGGCCCGCGCCTGTGGCGGTGCCGTCGCCCAAGCCGATCTTCTGGGCTATGGACTGCCATCCCCTCCTACCGCTCACCTCGTCGCAGCCGCCCGCTTCCTTCACCTGGTACAACCAGCCAGAGACGTCAATTGGGTGCCGAGGCTGGGCTCCCTCCAAGGCGCCACGGCCCACACTACCAAATTCATCAAATTATTGCTCGAATTCTTCAAATTATTCATCAAATGCGGCAACTTACTGCCCGCGTTCATCGAATTCCTCAGCCAAGACTGGGGCCTGCAGAGAGTGGGCGCCCTGCATGGCCAGGAATTCTCGCGCCTGCAATTCTCTACAAAGCAAACGTGTGCGGCGCCTTGGTATTGCACAAGGCAGATGCAGATTGGTGACTGGAAAACTGATTTTGGACGCTTTGCCTTCAGCTGGCCGCCCATCCACAATGCAACTGTCAAGAGCACTGCTTGGCGGCACATCAGCCATCTCGGTTAACCCAAGTTGAGATGTGCCAACTTTCAACTGTGTTCTATCAAATGAACACATCGCACTTGATCCTGTTTGGAACCATAAGCACGTGATGAGACCCGAGACGGCATGCAAGACGTGTACACATCGCAAACAGAAAAGCACACACTGGACACGCTTCATTTCCTTACCACTTTCATTGCAAATTTCGTTGTTAGGGCCACGTGGTGAGCAGGGCTGTTTGAGATACAAGCCACATGGCCAACAGTGCAAGTGGCTGGCAGCATACATCAGTGCACCGGTTGCAACACCTCGTCCAATAGTCACTGTGGTGCCACAGCTAGGAAATTGCACCAGGACAGGAATTCAAAGGGCAGAAACGGCCTTGCGGAATGCCAACAGCAGCTTTCAACACACCAGAGCATATAGCCTTCGCAGGTCCACCTCCTGATCTGCGACTGTAGGAGGTTTGTCAGCCCCCAACGCTCCCCAAGGTGGCTCACTCCTTTCTCCAGATAGGTACTCTCCCAAAAGGGCGAGGCCTTCAGCAATTTGCCCCTGCCTGCCCGGTCGCTTGGGGCACTCCTGGCCAGAAACGAATGCCTCACGGCCAGGCTGCAAGCACCACATATTGCTGGAGTAAGCTTTTGAAAGATTAGCACAAGGCAAGCGCAGAGCTGCTGGGACTGTCTTCGCTCCACACGTCGAGGCTGGCACAGCAGCCCAAACACCTGGACGACCACGGCTTGACTATGCAAAAGATACGTAGTTGCTTCAATTTGGATGTTCGTCCCACACCTTCTGTGAAACAACAGGGGACTGCTGACGCCAATCCAAATCAAGGAATGCATTTAGTTCTCGGGAGGTTGAACAGATGTCCCTAGCAAGACATGGGCATAAGCCCCAGTCCTGTCTTCACCACATCAGCTCGATCGTGATCATTTTTGGTCAAGCTGGGCTGGGTAATCAAAGTACACAGTGCCCCATGCACATACCCAACAGCACCAAGGGCACACATATTCACAACAATACTACGTACCTATACCACAGCTGCATCTTTTCTGGTTGCCGTGTTACATTAACCTGCCCCACTTTTGTGCTCTGTGGCAGTCTATATTTCATAATGGCTGGCGCCCGCTTTTGCATGTGGCATCGGTAACAAAATAAGAGTAAGCAACTTGAGCAACATTTAAAACCAACTTTTGAAAAGACCGCAGTTGTTAAAGTATAAGGGCATGGCTGGCTCCAAACATGGCCGAGTTCGCAGCCCCTCACACTAGCATTTGAACATGGACCCCACATTGCTGCAAAATAGCATGATTTGCTTTGCTTGGATGATGTGCTTGCAAAGCTATGCACGCAAGCCAAACATGCCGCTTTGTGAGTAAAGCCAATAATCCTGCTGACTGTGTGTCTGTGCTCGCCCTGCCACAAAAACACAGTGAGCACTCTTTCCCATCTTAATCACACAGCTGTTGGCTCCCAGATTTGTGACACCATGAATGGGCTTCATTGGATGCACGTTGGCACTCCAGTCTTTCCATGGATGGCCGTCCACTTGCACAACTGATGTATCCTGGTTCGGTTTGCATCAACACACACCCGCTGCAAGCAGTCCCCTTCACCGTAGCACTGCGGCACAATAGTCTCATTGCTATCACTACAGATGTTTTGGGGTTTGTTCTTGGGGACTAGGGGGTGCCAACCAATATGAAGACAACAGTTTCAGCCAAAAGCTCCCAGTGCTAACTGATTGTCAGGGATCGAAGGCTGACCTGGATGCCAGGGGGTGTGGGCAGCAACGTCGATGCAACCCCACCATTCCCATTTGCGCGCGCTAACACGAGCAGCTGCTGGTATGACATCTCCTGGAGGTCCACAGTCCTCAGCTGTGGTGCTGAAGTCGCAAGTGGGAGTAGCTGCTGTGGCACCAATGCCTCCACAGGGCTGCCCGGCCGGTACCCCAAGTGAAGCCCAGCAAGATGTGCCTCCATCCTTGCCTTGGCCGCCGCTATGTCAAAGCCACGAGGGTGTTGGGCATCCTGGTGGTTGACAGGATGGAGGGCCGTGCGCTGGCGCTTTATGGGGAATGCAGATGTCGAGTGTGGCACTCGCACGTCTAGACCCTGGTCCCTCAGCCAGTCACCAATGGATCCACCGAGTGTCCCGTCAGTGTTCAACAATTTGATGCTCTGCTTCCACTTTTTGGTTTGCGCTCGGCCTCCAAGACGTTCCATCTCGTTTGGTGTGATTTCACGAGTGAGGTGGCCATTTTCCTGGAAACAAATTCTTTGGAGTTCAGGTTTTTATTAACATCCAATACCCTGCAGCTCATACACTACCGATTTGCTCCGTAAATGTGCTCATTCGAAGGGAAGACGATGAGCACCAGCAGCAGCCACAGCATGGGCGGCATGTATTCACACAAACAGAAAAATGGCATGCGCAGGGCTGTCTCTCCTTACAAAAGGATTTGTACTTGCTCCCTGCACTGCAAAACCCTACAGGTTGCCACACAGAGCCAAAGCAGTAGCAATAATTGATGCAGCTGCTGGAATGTTGTCAAACAAAGAGAGATTCCCCTCACATGGGCATTCTGCATAATGCAAGGGTGTGCCACACATCCCTTTCGCCTCATCCCTGAGAGTGCGGGTGCAGCCACGTGTGGATAAAGAATTCAACAGCCACGGCTGGAGTGGGCGTGCAAGGTCTCACCTTGATAACGACCCGGCTTGTTGCTGTGACGAACGTGCCCTGAAGAATGCCACACACTACCTGCACATGGGCTGGCACTGACTCGGGCTCCGGTGTGGAGGTCGACTGCTCACCCTGAGTCCCAGTGGAATCAAATCAATGATCAGCCCAGCAATGTGTCCAAAACGTGCTGTGCACCATTCCATGCAGTGGCCAGAACATTAAAGACAATATCTTCTAGAGACTGCGCCAAATACGAGTTACACAAATGCAACAAACTCTTTGTCAGCTTGGGACATGCCAGCATTGCTGCCTGTCTCCTAATCTGTTGGCACCACCCACATTTTTTTTCTCCGTTTGCAACACAAACTCCATTGTATGGACTGCCAGTCGCAACGTGGCACTGGGGTGTGGTGACAGTCGCTTAAAATGTGGCTTGTGACCACAGCGCATATCAACAATCCATCCTATGTTCCAACAGCAGGTGTGTGCAGATACCATGGCTTTCACCACTTGCTGGAAAAGTATCAGCTCGTGGTCGTCTGCGGCCCAGCGCAGAATCCACAGGCACCAGGGTTAGTCTGTCTGACCTGTGGGTGGCACTGCCCAAACACATCGACCACCCCTTCATCTGTTCGAAAACCAGAGCTCTGCCCTCCATTTCTGCTGATACGGCCATTGTCGCGCTCTCCAGCCCAATCCCATTCCCAAAAGGGACTGGATGTGCTGATGCACACGTGGTTTGAGGCTTGTGAGAACTCCATTTCCATCTCACAATCCCTTGCAACCTTGTCGTGGAACTGGTCCCAGCAAGGCGGCCAGGCGAGGCCTACCTGGCAATTTCCGCCACCGCGATCTCCGCCCACCCGCTGGGGCTCCCTGCTCATCCCATCCTGCCCTGCGGATGTCCCCACACTGACCACCTCCAGGACCGGCATCCCCCCCGCCAGCGCCAGCAGCGGCGACACGGTGGGCACGACGCCCTCGTCCGCGCGCCTGTCCCTGTCTCCGCCCGGCACCTCCGCGCGGGACCGACCTGATTGTCCAAATTGCCGCCCGCCTCCCATCCAAGCCGCGCACTGCCCAACCGCTGATTGCCCAACCGCCGAATTTTGGCCAGATTGATGCAGCCCCTGCCGAGGACCCACCAGGAGCGGTCTGGAGGTGATCGCCCCGGGGTCGATCAAAGACTCCCAGGCGCGCTTCATGGTGAGATGGCCGACCAGGGGGGTCACCGGCGGGCTGGGCAGCGGCTGGCGCGGCCTGGGCGTTTGCACATCGGCACCGGCATGCGAGCCACCGCCCGATCGCCCAAACGTGCGGAAAGGGCGGCTACCTCGACGCCATCTCCGGAGGGCGTCGCCTGAGGGCCTCGAGGCGGCGGGTAGGGCACCAACGGGGCGGTCGTCTGCCGCTGCGCCGGGCAGATGAGCGGGGTCAGGCTGCGGCCGGGGCAATCGGCAGCGCGGGAGTGGAAACGCGAAGCTGTGGGGAACGGCGGGAAAAGAGGGCGGATTGCAACCAGCGATGGGGACGCCATCTGGGACGCATCCAACCAGCGCGAGGCTGGGGGGTGGGGTCCGGAGAAGGGGTCGGCTCTGGGTGCGCGGCCCCTCTGAGCCTCGCAGCGTGGGGCGGCACAGGATTGGGATTCGGGGAGCCGTCGCGCGGGGTCTGCGCACGAACCTCTGAGCCGGGCCTGCCGGTTGGGGTTCCGCCCGCCGTGCCCGCCGCGCTGCAGGAAGGCCGTCCCCAGGCACGCACCCCGAGGGTCGGTAGTTTCCGGGCCCGTGGGAAATGACGCAGGTGCAGGGAGCGAGGCACAAATGGAGGCAGCCGATTCGAACATGACGTCCAAGTCGGATGACGACGCCCGTCGCGAGGAGAATGGACATTTCCAGCGCTCGTCGTGGGACCGCAACCCGGCCTTCTGCTTTGGAGTCCTGTGCCCACAGTGTGTCCCGCTTTGGGAAGCATGGCGGGCTTGTCTTGGCGGGCCGCCGGCGCTTCAACCTCTGCCCATTCTCGCCCCCTGGGCCGCAGGGCAACATGGCGCACATCCTGGCATGGGGCCCGTTGGAAATCCGTCTGTTACATACGTCAACAGCGTGCGGGACAACCACCCCTTGCACCCCGCTAGGCGATGATGGATGCCATAGTCCTGGCCCAGCTCTTCCCGCACTGTCGTATCCCCGTAACAAGGGGGTTGGGGCAGAAGCGAGCCACTTCTGGTGCTGTGCGCCCTCACACAGTGTGTGGCACGCTTTTGTGGCCTGCCTCCAAAGTGCATTTGCCCAGCAACGCGGTCCATTTACAGATGCGTGTTCGCTGGCGATGTGCAAAGCAGCGACAGAACCGCTGCTGTCTGTGAGACGCTGCAGGGGTTCTGGCTTGCTTAGTGGATTGAGGCCAGCATCAATCGACGCAAAGCATGCCAGAATCGCCGCAGTGCATCGTGTCACACACGACGGTGATGTGTGCTTCCGGCATCTCCCTTTGCATGAAGACTAACTCAGGTGTCACAGCGTGATGGAGCTACAAATACTGGACAGGCGCGTGTGGTGCCAGCTGCCGATTCGCACCCGTCCGTTCTGTTGGCGGTAGAAACATGGTGCGTGGTAGCCTGTTCGGTGAAAAGCCCAAGCATGAGTCATTCATATGGGCTCTTGTGTTCAAAGGAAGGCTGTGAAGGCTGTTTCCAGTGAAGTTAGACTAAGGAACGCTCATGATTCCCTGAAATTTCAATGTTTAAGTGTTCCTCGACATGTGGCCGTGCCAACGTCCCGCAGACGCAAACCTTAACAAAGTAGCACGGTTTTGGTCAACCACTCTTCTGCGTCGTTGTAAAACAGAAATAGGGTTTTCGCGTTTTGTCTGCGGTGTTAGCCCTGATAATGTGGGGTGTGGGACTGAATGTCTGGAGATGTTGCAGTCTTACGTGTGGGCTCCCCACTTTCCGGCAGATGAGTTTCTGAAATGCAATCTTGAATTTCGATAAACTCCTATATACTGCATGACTGGCAAACGCAGTACTTCACTACACTTGTTTATCGCCGTTCCAAACCAACACGCTCATTCGGTCCTCTCCGCATCGCTGTCACAAAAGGATGGCTGCATCTGAAGGTTCCCTACCGGTGATTCTCGTCAGTACAAGCGCATCAGGACGCTTAGGCACGCTCACGGGAAAAGCACATTGTATTTACATTCTCTGCTGGCTTAGGTTCAGTGCTAGTTGTAACTTAAAAAGTGCAGAATATTTCTCTTTATGTACACAAGAAACAGCCAACCGTTGGAAGAGGCCAGGAGTGAAGGAAAAAAAGAGCTAGAAGGCTGTGGGACACCCCTGAAGATGCCATATTTGCCGGCAGACCACCTCTCGGCCCTTGGTCCGGCAGTTGGAAGTACAGCGCCACTGTATTTTTGACAGTCTCAGCCCTTTCCAGCTCGATGCCCCGTACCAATTCACCGCGAGCTGGTCGTGTCCCCAGCGAAAGCTGCAACCGGGCCCGGCTCGCACGCTGCGGACACTTTCTCGGTTCGCACGCCCGCGCACCCAAGTTGGCGAACCTCTGCCTCTCGCCAGCCTCCAACAGCGCTCGAGCGTCCAAACATGAGAAGTGCAACCTCCGAAACAAGCACGAGACGTGCGCACTCTAGAATAAACACGAGCTGTGCATAGTCTAGAATAGCCGCGAGGCGTGCGCACTCTTGTTCGGGTCCCTATACCGTTGTTCTTTCCAAGCTAGAATACGACACAGACGACAGAGACGCGCTCTGTGACCCAACCGGAGGTTGTCCCGCTAAGTCCGGGCTCTCGCGTGCCGGCCGTTCTGTACCTTGCAAGGGGTTCTCTGAAGGGGTGCAGAAAATGGGCGCTGGAGTCTCCACGCCCGCGGATGCTTTGTGCCACCGCCGGTGACCCGCCAGACTCCCGTCGGCGGCGGCAGCAACGCTGGGTGGTCGGTTGCTCGTTGTCGGCGCGGCGGGGTCGGAATGACCGCAACGCCTGTGGTCGCGCCGGTCTTGCCTTTACATGCTCGCGTCTTGGGGGATGCACACCCTCGGCGCGGCTGATTAAGCGGGTCAGCACAATGGGAGACGGGTCGCCGAGCCGCATGCCATATGGAACATGGAATCCGGTGAGGGGTGTGCGGCTACCCAGCGTCATTGCACGCCTCGTTGATTGAACTCGAAGAGCAACTTTTTCACCTGATCAGGCGGCTGAAGGTCACAAGCGCATTGGCTGTGGGGGCGGTCCATGGCGCGCCCTGTTTCTTCCCGTCTGTGACAATGGCTGCAGCTCTTGCTGAGTTCTGCTGTGAAACGTCTCCCCGTGAAATGGACAGCGTGGCGGGGGCCCAATGGAATGGGCACAACTCCATCACACAGAACAGCTTCCGTTACAAGTCAGTGCCAACGCGGCATTCACTGCGGCGCATCACTGTCCCATACACAAACAATGTCCCGTGTGAGGCATTCGACAGGTGCGGAACCTGGAGCCACACATCACACAACCAATCATGCTCTTATGCATGGCACACTCCCAATCGCTTATGAGGCGAGACATCCAACCGCACCCACGTCCCAGCACCCCTGCGCTCAATCTTGATCTTAAACGCCATGCTCTTGCCCAGCCCCCCTGATCTATGTCTCCGACGTGAGCGTGGCGCCACAGGCCTAAGGGACAATCGCCCCCAGCCCAAGCAAATTCTAAAGCGTTGTCCCAACCAGGCATCCTGGCTTCCACTCTAATGTTCAAAGCTACGGCATAGCAGCGACGAAGCCCGAGATACGAACGCCCACAGAACACAATTGTGCACCCCAACACCAACCCGTCCAGGTCTCAGAGGCACTGATGCGCAATGAAAGACAGCATGGCGGCAACTGTGGAGTGGCAATCCTGGAAAGTGTTTCCTTGTGCTGATGCTTCTCTACCCCTTGCTGCAAACACCCGTCTTGCAAACCCATTCTCCACATAGCCAGATCCCCGGACAAAGAATAGAAAAGGATGCATCCTACTGTACAGGCTTCAAGATTATCTACACTGATCTCTTCCCTCAACCAGCCCACTGAGCGCAGATCATGAATCCGCCAGCATTTCCAGAGCTTAGTTTCAACCCATTATTTTTTTCCGTCCTTCACCTATCTATTTTTTTCTTTGTGAGAGTTTCTGTCATGCTAAGGGATTATTCCAGAAGAAATGGAGGCCATCCCTGCTGCTGCTCTGGCGTCGGACAGCCATCCCTGCATCCCGGGGCAGTGCCTTTATAGTACTACTGCCACCTGCGCCCCTGCGACATCCCGTGCACAAACCACTTTGAGGACGAGCACACCTTTGTCCAACCCCAAACCAATTCTCCCCAGGCTTATTCTGCTACTGACAGATCCATATGCCCCAAGCTACCTTCCACATGTATACACAGCACACACATACATACACATGCGTGCAGCAAAAATTTCGTACAACAAGCACGCTTATTGCCCCCAATACAGGATGACATGGTCTTCCACATTCTAAACTCAACTGTGAAATCCAGTCACAGGGGCAAACAACTCGTATTTGTTCCTGACAATAGATCAGGGACTGGCATGGCGCAGTGAATATCATCATCTGATCCTTCCCCTGGCAATGCCGTTCACCGCATCAATCGCCTTTTTCAGTTCCGCATTCTCAAGCTTCACCTGGAGGAGATGTGTTTCCAACTCCTGTGCCCTTGACTGCAGGCCCGCTACCCTCTGGGCCACGTTGTCGGGTGCCGGCGGCGGCGGGTACCCCCCTTCTCGCCCCCGCAGCACGCCCGGCACGCCCTGGGCCCCGCCTCCCCCCCGCTGCTCATTCCGCTGCCTCAAGGCCTCCATCTCCAGCTCCATGTTCCGCATCACGCCCTGGAGCTGCCTTATCTCGCCCTCCTTGTAGTTGGCAGCCTGCAGGGCCCCCGGTGGCCCCTGCTGCGCCACTGCCTCCTGCTCCCCCTGCCACCTGCCCCCATCCATCCCCTGCCGCTGCAGTGCATCTTGGTGCACCGACATCTGCTGTGCCCTCTGCAGCTCCCGGCTCGGCATGTACCCAAACCTGCCCTGCTTTGCGGCCGCCAGCGGGCTCCCGGCCTGGGACCCCGGCCGGCCGTTTGCCGCCTGGTACGCGCGCTCCTGCAGCACCTCCTGCAGCTGGTTCCGCGCGTCCTGCAGCTCCGCCAGCTGAGCCTGAATCTCCTCCGCCCTGGCGATGTCTGGGCTCTGCTCGCTGCCCACCGACCCCGACGCCTTGATATGCGCCCCCTTGGGCCCCGCCGCCTGCCCCGGGGCCTCCCCTTCCCTCCCGGCAAAACCTTCCGCGCCCCCACCCCGCCCCCGGGATGCCAGCGAGCATATCCCCTCCCTCATCCTCCCGGTAAGGTGGCTCACGGCGTCCGGCAGATTGCTGGGGAAGTCGTCGTCCATGCTCCTCCCGCGCCCGTCCATCCCCGCGCTGGACTCCACCTCCTTGCACAGCGCGTACAGCCCGCCCACGGCCTCCTCCACCGCCGCCGCGTTGCGCTTCTCCGCCTCCAGGTCGGCCGTCAGGCGGCCCACCTCCTCGCCCATCCGCGCCTTGCCGGCCTCGTACTCGCCGAACCGCGACGTCAGCTCCTCCTTCATCGCCAGCGCCGCCCGCAGCTCCTCCTGCAGGCCCTTGAGCTCGCTGGAGAAGTCCCCGCTGCGCCGCGAACGCTCCGCCAGTTGGGCCTCAAGGGCGGCCTTCTCCTGCCGGGCCCTCAGCAGCTCGGACCGCATCCCGCGCAGCTTGCCGGCCGGGATCGACACGTCCTCCGAATCGCTGGCGCCGGACAGGTCCAGGTCAAGCTCCGCGCTGCCCGATTTGATGGCCACCCCCACCAGGGGGTCGTCCCCGCTGCCGCCGCGGGCCGCCGTCCGCGCGCGCCCCGCTCGCCGCTCCTTGCTCACCGACATCTCCGACGTCATCTGCGCCGTCTCCAGCACCACCTTCTGCAGCTCCTGGCTGGCCACGCTAATGTCCACCATCTGCTGCGCCAGGTCACACTTCTCCTTCACGGCGCTGCTCAGCTCCTGTTCCAGCTCCTCCAACCGGCTGACGGCCGCGATGGCCGCCCGCCGCAGCTGCGCCTCGTCGCCGAACTCCACAGGGGCCCTCAGCTTGGCGGCGCTCAGGGGGGAGCCGTCGGACGAATCCACGTCCAGGCCGGCCTTGAGGTCCGCGGAGCCGGACAGCTCCCTCTTTCTGCCCGCCTTGCGCCCAGGGAAGTCCTGCACGGCCTCGACCTTGCCCTCCCGGCCCTGCCCCGCCGTGCCGCGGTCCAGCAGGGCCCGCAGCTCTGCGCTGGCGGCCCTCTCCGCCTCCAGCTCCTCCTCCGCCCGCGCCTTGGCGTCCTGGGCGACCAGCAGCGCCTGCCGGACCTGCGCACCCGCCACGCGCAGTCAGCGCAACGACACCGCGAGAACCGACCCGCTCACGGAGAAGCGCCCGGTCGAGGAGAAAGGGCCGATGCCGCGATGCCGGACCCCGGTTCCAGTAGCCGCTTCCTCGCGGGGATATGTGAGCCATCGAGCGGGGGGCAGCGCGAAGGGGAGCGCGGTCGGCCCCGCCGCGCTGATCCCCAGGCCCGCACCTTGGTCCAGCCCACCAGGGTCAATCCCAGGAGGTTGACGAGCCCAACGGGCAGCACCAGCCCTGGCGCCGGGCGGCCCCCCGCCTGCCGGGCCGCGGGCGCGCCGCTGGAGGCGTCCCCGTGGGCGGGTAGCTTCGCGTCACCGGCGTCGCGGCGGGGGGAGAGCGGGAACGCGACGCGTATGGCGTGAACCATGGGGCGACGAGGCGCATAGAGTAGCGGCGGACAAACCCCTTTGTGGGCGCCAGATACGTCCGGCGCACAGTCATGCGCACTGCTGCCGTACCCCGCGCACCTGACTGAGGCCCCGCTCCAATTCGGAAAATAGACTCGAGACGGGGCACGGGAATCAATGCGCCTCGACAGGTGGTGTGGTTTGTTGTTGTATATGTTTGGCGTTGTGTGTTGCTGGTGGGCGTGCCGCCCGTCACGGGGCTCATCTCACCCTTGTTTGGCGGGGCGAGTGGATGGGCGGCGGTCAACAACGGCGGCCGTACGCGCGGTACAGTTCGGGGCGCGCTCAAAAAGCCACTGCGCACAGGCACGCCGAACGAGCAGGCCGGCAGCACAATCAGATGAGGCGTCAGTTTCGAGTTACAGAAACTGCCCACGACAAGAGATTTACAGTAGGTTTTTAAACCTTCCGCATAGTAACGCTCGGCATTTTTTACGGAGAAAACAATAAGACAAACAACGTTCTTTCAATAAAATTTTTGCTGGGCAACGTACAAATAATCAATAGCGACTAAAAGCAAATACGGAGCACAAAGCGTAATGGTAGAATTTTCCGTTGCGGAAGGGCTTAAAAATCTACGGTATTCCAGCATTCAAGCGCGGCTTCAGGGACAAGGGCACCATGCCTGAGCACCGAGTTGCGATTGTACACTACGATCTCAAAGAGTACACAAGAGCCACTTCAGGACTGATACACATTCCTGCCCGAAGCAGGGCCGCAAGTCGTTTTCCTGATGGCAAAGCCTTGAGACTGATGCGCATTGGCAGTTGTTTTCTTGCCAGCGTTGTGGCAAATAAATCTCCAGCCTTCCTTCTGTTGTGCCCGAAAGACTGAAATCCAACAATAGCGGGTCGCACACGCCCCCAAAAGACACATACAAACCGTGGGAATTTCCTTAAACATCAATGTGTGTTGACCCTCGCCACAAGCGCTGTGTGATATATACATTGTGGACAACTGTCACATATTCGTCTACACATGACGTCGTGGTTTCCTCACATGCCAACATATGCCACATGCAGGACATACATTCTAAGCATAACAGCTAATTGGTGCATACCAAATTGAATCATCCACAATAAAAGTACACCTCAGAAAACTGCACCATCATTGGGTTGGGATGAACAATTACTGCGAATCATACATTTCTTCCAGATGTATTAGAGACACAGGATATTACCCCTGTTTTCCACCATGCAACTTGTAAGAGTCATACACTCATTCACTCATGTGGCCACGGAAGCTGTGATCTGTACGGCTCTTTCAAAGTCCCCACCTGTTGTAGGTCGTTCATCTTGTCCTTCTTCTCGTTTTCCAACTCCTGGATCATGGCCTGAACAGCTTCCTGCTCCTCCCGTGCCCGGCTCCTTTCGCCTTCGAGTTCGACCATCAGGTTCTGAACTTCCTCGTTCAGACGCTCCAATCCAGGGTGCACCTGTTGATAGTTGACAGCAAGCTTGCCATCAATACTCCCTCGCACAACCCTTGCAGCATCAACCCACAACGAAGGCCACTTTTGATCCGACTCGTGCCGTTGACCAAGTGTCGCAATTTAACAGAAGCAGGATGGAGATTTTGGAGCATAGTTGCCCATTTTTTGCATAGTTGTTTTTCACACATTGACCAGGGAATTCATGACAATGATGAAATTCACAATAATGGCGAATGCCATAATCCTTGGTTGTGCTAACACATCGACACTTGCCACAGTGCAGGGGGAGCACAGCAATGGTCGGACATTGTCAGGTCCTCCGAGCATTATCACATAGGTGAATGGGTGGCGACTTGTCATGATTCCAAAAATGCAATCATTGGGTACCCACACCATTACCTCCTCATGCTCAGCAACCTTCTTCTCCAACAGGTCCTTCGCCTCCAACGCCAGTTCAAGCGCCTCCTCCATCTCTTTGACCTTGCGCATCGTTTCGGCCTCCGTCTCGATCTCAGCTTCCATAAGGTTGTCCATGAGGGGGGAGACACTCCTCCTGTCAGAGGCCTGCGCAATGTGGTCCTTGAGGCATCTGTTCATCTGCAGGGACAGCGACAGCGCCTCCTGCAGCTGTGCGACCTTGTGCACATTGCTGGACCCAGCATCGTCAGAGATAACAGATGACTCCTCACCGACGGACCGCAAGACCACAGTCGCCCTGGGGGAATTAGCCAACTGCTCCCTCAACGAGTCATTCTCTTCTTCCATTGAATTCAGGCACTTCCTCACCGACTCCAGCTCTCGGGCCAAGCCATCAGCGGCCATCTGCGTTTCCTCCAAGGCGTCCTGTTTGACCTTTGCTTCCGATTCAAGGGTCTCCTTCAGTCGCCTGTTGTCGTCAGTGAGCTGCTTGTTTTCCTCCACCAGCTGCTCAAGCTCCTTAAACCGGGCCTGGAGCTCCTCGTTCTCAGTCTGCAATGAGCCAAGCTCCCCCTCTGCCTGCTGCAAGTCCCTTTCCAACATCTCCTTGCGATTCTGTGCTTCCTCCAAGCGCTGAAGGTACACCTGCACCTCTGCATCGGCGTCGTGCGTCTCAGACAAGACGCATCTCAACTCCTCCTGGGCCTGCAGCAGCTCTGCTTGAATCCGCTGCTTGTCGACCTTCACCTCTTCCATCCCCTGCTGCAGCTCGGCTTTCTCCGCCTGTGCTCCCTGGAGCTCCTTCTTCAAGTCTGAGACGATCTCGTCCGACGATGCCGCGGCTGCCTGCTCCAGAGCCTTGACCTGTGCAGCCAATGCACGGTTGTCCGCTTGGAGCGCCTCCAGTTCCATGCGCAGCTGATCAAACTTCGCATCGTCGATGCTGTTGGAGAAACTAGCATCGGAGCCCACGCTGAGGCGGCGAAGGCCTGTGGACAGTTGGGCCGTCTGGGACTTCATTTGCTTCAACTCGTCCCTGACCATCTCCTGCGATTTGGTGCGCCCATGATTTGAGCCGTTCTGCTGCGCCAATGCTGCCAGTTCTTTCTCATTGTCCTGCAGCCGTTTCTGGAGAACATTGACCTCGTCCTCGTATGCCAGCAATGCCTTCTGTGCCTGCTGCATCTGTTGGTTTTTCCCATTCACCTGCACAGCACGCAACTCAATTGTCACCATCCTGCACAGCTTAAACAGGGCAAGGAAACTTGAGTTCGATGCAAAGCTGCATCGGCCAGTATTAGGTTCCATGAGCACTCAGTTACAAGGGAATAGACAAGTGGCATGTTGACAAGCACGAGTACCCTGGCATCAGGACACACCATTCCACCGCACCTGCCGCTGGAGATCCTCCATTTCCTGTTCTGCATGCCGCAAAGCAGATTCGAGCTCCAGGTGCAGGGACGTCACCTCCGGGGCAAGCGGAGAACCACCACTTCCACTGTTCAACAAGCCTGCCTTGGAAGTTCCCTCGCCCTGCCTTGATGCCCTCGAGCTGATTGAGCTTCTGCTGGACGGCCGCTCGTTACCTCCTGGGCCCATTGATCGAGACTTCAGAGGTGAGGATACAAAGGGACGCGAACGCTCGCCCCTGGAAGCTGACCGGTGCTCAGTGGGCGTGCGAGGGGATGTGTTGTCTGAAGAGGCGTCACGGCTTCCCTCTAGACTATCTACGCTCCTGGGAGATGTGTTCATATCCTTGAAGGACAGCTCGCTCGTCGCACAGCTGTGAGTGCTGTTCTGTCCAGCAGAGCGTCGGCCTGTTGGCACCTCATCATCAGAGTCCTCAAAAGTGCTTGGTATCGAATCCCTGCCAAAGCTCATGAGCGAATCCTGCCTTGCAGCCAACTCTTCCGAAAACCCTCCTTCCGAGTCCTCGGACACACGGCGCCCATGATATCCCTGCCTCCTCAGCTCTTCCTCACCCAGTCTGCCTGTCGGCGAGAATGTACTGCGTTCATGGGATCGCTCTGATCCAGTGAAGCTCGATTCAGCATCCAAGTCCAGGAGCGCAGATGGCTCTGCAGCATACCTGGATGCAAGCAGCTGTGCAGAAAGTGGGCGCCCTCGAGAAGAGGGCCTCCGATCTTGGTCAGGTGCCTTGCTGGGCGTCGACCCAAAGCTGAAGTTCGCATCACCCTGCTCTGAGATGAAAGGGTTTGAGGTGTTGCGCATCAGCCCTGCAGATGCGGGAGGCTGCTCACTTATGTCGCTAAATTCTTCAGCAGAGAACGAAGAGGAACGATCTGGCGATCGACGAGAAGAACCAGAAGGGGATGACAGCATCGACCTGAACTCATCGCTGCCCAGGGGCTGAGTCAATCGGGATCGGAATGGAACATCTCGGGGGTGTGAAGAACCTTGCGCTCTTGCAGCTGAAGCACTCCTCAGCGCCGCCATTCCCTGATGCCTTGGATTCACCTTTGGCTCGTGGTCATCCATTCGTCCGGGGAAGACCGATTCCTTCGGCGGCTCCTGCACCTTTGTGCTCCTCCTCAGACTGGCGGTATCCTTGTCTTCACTCAAGACACGGCCCCTGTCCTGCTGCGACACCTGCTGCACCCGACGCAATGCTGGGGACCGCTGTGGCAGCACAGAATCGTGTGTAGATTGGCCGATGCCCCCTGAACTCGATTTTCTGACGCCCTCAGATGGCTGAGCGCCTGCAGAGCTGCTCTCTCCCAACCTCCCGCTTGTGCGCCTCAGTCCGATGGTGTGCCTCAACCCTGTTTCCTGCTTGCCTATGGACGCCTGCCTTGCAGCCGACCCTGTCCTGCTTCCTATAGTCTCCTTCACGCTTGACTGCAGCCTTGCACCTGTTATGTCCCTGACAGGGGTCGCCTTCTTTGTTAGTACTGGCTCCCTCGACAACCCAAGCCTCCCTGTCCTCAGAGGCAGCCCCTCCTTGGCGCTGGACCCAAGCCTGGCTGTTGCTGATGGCGACCGGGCAACTGAGGCATTCCACCTGTTACCCACGCTGGCAGACCCAGAAGACCTGTTGCTCGCGGCGGACGACGGCCGGCTTGGCGTCGACTTCGCCATCAACCCTGTGCCGATTCTGGCTGTCGATGCCTTGCTGGTGGACGCAGCTGTGGTCTGCCTGCCCTGCAGGCCTTGTCTTCCCGTGAGCACATCCCTGACAGGCGTGGTCTTCCTCTGCAACGGCCCCTCCCTGGAGGTCTGCGCAACCGACGCCGTGGGCACATCTCTTGCTGATGTGGAGGACGTCCGCCTGGCCATGGGGCTTCCCTGCGGTGAGCCACTCCCAAGCCGGCCCATCACTGAGCCCTGCTTGGAAGCGGTGCTCCCAAGTCGTGAGGCGGGCTTTGACCTCACGGGCACGGCTGGCTTTGCGGCAGGCTTGGGCCTCAGGCTGTCGCTCTGCCTCGACGGCTCAGCGCGCCTGGTTGGCTTCGGCTTTGGCGTAAGCTGCGGGATGCGCGACATCCTCTTGGCCCTGTCCTGATCCATCTTGACGCCTTGGGTCACTGCAGACTGGCCGTTTCACCACCCTGGGGCCCCACAGAGGAAAAGTCAGAGCCGCCGGGCCAACAACAGGATACGTACAACCACCTGGCCAACAACAGCATTTGCAAGGCTGTTGGTTGCTCTGCTCAGCGGCGCTCAAGGTTCGCACGCGAAGAGAAGACACAAACGAAGGGCTTCCGTCCCAAATACCCCTTGCGCGCCTTCAACACGCTTGATCTCCGATCTCCAGACAGCGCCGGCGCCAGCGACCCGCACCGCAGCACATCTCGTCCGCACTTGAACCAGGCACCCTCCCACCAAAGCGACCGACACTGATAGCGCCTGGACGCCCCAAAGCCGCCGCGAGCCATGTCGGAGAATGTACAAAGGCGTCCCGCGCCAAGTGGGGCTCAACATGAGTGCCCTACCCAAAACCTGCTCACCCCGTCGGCGCCCAAGCGGGTCGTCCTGCCACCAGCGACCCTCTCCAGCAAGCCGCGCCCCGCCGTGGGCGGCCGCCCGACCCTGCGCCCGACGCCCGACGGTACATTTCAGACCGGAAGGCAACGCACCGACTGCACCGACGCACCGGGGGGGCAAACGCCACCGGAATGGCGACGACGGGCGGGCCCGCGGCTGCGAAGCGATCTCCCAGACATCAGACGGGCCCAGTCAATCGACAAAAAGGCGCGGCCAGGCGGATCGCGTCGCCCGGCGAGGGCGCAGGGCCCCGCTGAAGAGCCCCGCTGACCTGATGTACACACGGGGCATCGGATCAAGAGACAGAGGGGGCGGGGAGGGGGCTGAATGCGGACGTCGCTCCTATCGGCTGCCAGTATCTCGATCGCCACGCCGCGCACTTGCGAGCCCCGGTCTAACCGGCGCCGCTCGCCGCACCGCTCCGTGCGAGTTCCAATGTGCCCACGGCGGCGAAAGCCGTGACGCATGGCGTCGCGGATGGGGCGGAGGCGCTCCCCGCTCCCCGTGGGCTCCCAATAGGCCGCGCGTGGGGCCCTCCGGGCGCCTTCCCCGAGGTGATGCGCCGAACGGAACGTCCGACGCCGAGCCACGAGGCCTCGGCGCCGAAACCCCAAAGGGCTGCCGGCCACGGAGCGGGTGCGGGAGCCCACGTGGTCGCACGCGCCAGTCCCATGTGGCGACCAAACGGCCCATTCGGCCCCGCGGCCCCGGAGTTGCCGAGAGCGGATCCAGAGATCCTGGCGGAGCTTCACCGCCGCGAGGGGACGTCCCGTTGGACGCCGGCCAGCGCTGAGACGCGCCGATCGCGTCGCGCTCGCCAACGCGAACACACGCTTTGGGAGATGGGGCTGGGTGCATGGCGACGCACCTTATGGTGGCGCTCCTCCTGGGGGTGGGGTGGGGGGCCTGCGCCCGGCCGGCGGGGGACTGCGCCGGCCAGGCCACTGGCGCGGTGCGAGTCGAAGTGGGCGCCACGGCGAGCGGCGAGGCCGATCACCCCGTTACTGTGCCCACCAAATCCCTTGGATGCCCAAGCAGGGCATCCCAGGCCGGCTTGCGGAGACTGGGGATCAAAGGGAGAAGTGGGAATAAAAAAACGCCCGGGACCGGGCACGGGGACCATTTCGTATTTTTGGACAGCGGAAGGTGGATGGAGTGGATTAACGGGTTTAAATTGGATTAACGGATGACGTAATTCTATGGGTGGCGTGGGTGCCCCTGTGGCGCACCGTTCGCCTGGGTGGATCGCGTGTTGTACAAGTGGAGGGTGGGTCACCGCATGTCGTGTGCCGTGGGGCGCCTCAATCTGCAGCGCATGCCCGAGGAAGCCTTCACCTCAAAAATCAAAGTGGGATAGGCGCTCCAGGAATTGGCTCATTATGTTTGATTATGTGCGGACATTAGGAGTGACGAAACGGGAAAGCTGGGGGACGGAGAACGAGGGCTGGGTGAAGAACGGACACCGTGTGCTCGACAAGAATTATCCTTGCCGGTCATGTCCCAGGCGACCACCAAGAAAGGTGTCCGGAAAGATTGGGCTCAGGATGTTGGGGTCGGTTGGGCTGACGGGCGTCTGTCACATCCTGGCCCTGTCTGGATCATCCAAGTCATCTGTCCATGATGAGCACAGACTGCTGACCCAAGAGGCCAAGACGAACCTCCAGGTTCATGTGCCATGTGTGGTTACGTTGGGGGCATTACCCAGATGCACACACGCACTTGATTTCACGTGGTCTGTGTACCTGCTTTTGGACAGTGGCCGAAATGAACCCCGTAGGCACCGGGCTCTCCAGGCATGTCTGGTTATGTTGGGACCTCTTATCAAATCGCAAGTGCATGGGACAAGGGACTTCATGCCCGGCCATCTGAGGTGTGTTACTTTGGGTTACGTATAGTATATGGGCGCCTGTCCCAGGCTCTGTGCGTCATCAGGCCTGCTGCCCCTTCGGTTGTACATCTAACATACGCACTACCCCCACGGACGGTAGCAAAATTGTGTGGAGGACGGCTGGTGACATTCGGGTGTTAGGAAATTTCTCAAAAAGAGCCTGGGATTCTTAGAAAGAATAAACGTGAAGCCGATGCTAGCAACGCGAATTTGAGCCACCTGACGGGTAGCAGTCTTTCCTAACGATCACATGTCTAGCTGGCGCTCCAGGGGCTGGCGAACATAGGCGTTGCACGTCCTCATTCCTGGCCGTTGAACTTTAAAACAGTTCAGGCACAGGCGCTACGAAGTATTGCGTCACGCAATTTGCATGACACTACCATTGCGTCCAATTGCGCTCCCTGCAAAGACACATCCATCCACCCGATGCATGAAAGAACGCCTTGCCAACGACGCTCATACTCTCATGACGTGGGCAAGTTTCGGAATCTGCAAGATGCAAGGCATACAAAGGCAATGATTCCATGGCCCAGACTAGTGACCTGGGGTTGCGTCGAATGGTCGACTGTTTGGTGAGTGCTTGAAGCAAGCTAACGGAGTAATCTGGGCCGGTCCTGGTCGAAATTTTATGGACACGGTAAAAACCAAATGCACGGACTTCCATGGACACAGACTACTGCCGTTTGCGCCGAGGCCACACATTTGTACCGCGGGTTTCGACCAAGGGAAAAATCAACTCCAATCAAATGGCTTGGTGTGGTCAGGACCAGGTGAACAATGCAAAGGCCCTGGGCAATGTGCTGAGGACTAGCAGCACTTTCTGCAGTGCAACAGTCTTGGGGTTGTGGGGTCAAGCTCACGGCTGCCATATGCCAGCAAGCTCCTGAAGCACAGCATTAGATGCCTGCGTGTGCCCCAGCTCTTCTGCAGTCTTTTGGAACCAGGGCCTTTCTTTTGGCTGTCAGTGCTTTCTCTTCTCCCATGCTGCGGGCACGGCTTCCACGCTCCCGGGATCCAATCAATGCCCAGCGCTGGTAATGCGTATATGCAGCCTCTGACGAAAGTCAGTGGAGGCACTTTCCACAGCACTGCCAACTGCAACGATACAATAAATCACCCGGCAAAAAGGAAAACAATCAAATCTCTCTGCATCGTTTCTTCCCACAAAAATACCGCTTTGTACACATCGGCCGCACCGAAAATGCCCTTCCTGCTCCAAATCAATCTGTTAAATGCAATCACAGGTAACCGTTCACCAGCACATGCCCACCCCCTGCTGTCCTTATAAGCCCTGTGTGAAGAATCCACTCAGCCTATCGAGCCACGCCCTTCCAGAGGGAAGCTTCTCCTGTTCGACCACCTTGGGTACCTCCTTCCCTCTGAACATGCAGCGCTCGAGCGTCGTCCTGTACTCCACATCCTTTGCATAGTACCCAACCAACAGGCACCACATCAGCACCTCCATCATCCGCTCTCGGCCAAAGCAGATCGAGGTGCCGATGTCCAGTTGGGGCAGGCCATGATCGGATGTGAACTGGCAGCATCCGGTCATGACATGATCCATGAACGTCATCCTGGGTGACCCTGCTTGAGAGACTTTTAGTCGCACAATGATCTTGTTGGCCACTGCATGGAAGGCCTCTGGTATGCAGTCGCCGGCAACCTTGGTGAGTTGGGCGACATCCTTGATGCAGGGCTCCCTGCTGACTGCCAGAAGGAGCTGGCTGGCACCCCGGGTGGATGTCTCGATGCTCTGCAGCATGACAGGGAAGAAATGACACTCAATCTTTGCTGTGTGTTTGGTTTGAAATGGTAGTCTTTCTGCTCACAGTCTTTACCTCTCTGCTGCATAATGTACCCGGAAACCCCAAGAACAAATAAGGAGAACCCATAGTTTTGGCAATGAGCTTGTGATTTTGACGTCCTGCATGGATGTCCGGACACTCTGCAGTATGAGAGACAAGATAGCACTCAAATTTGCCTGCGGTTTTTGGCTTGATATCGTAGTCTTACTGCTGATAATGGCCATCTCTTTGGTGGATAATGTACCCTGAACCACCAGGAACAAAGTGAAAAAACTCATTTCCAGCAACGAGCTTGCCATTTTGACTGAACGGCGTGGGTGTTCACAGTATGGGCTGCATTGAGGACTGCATCCTCCAGAAAGGGGCGTCCTCTGAGGATGGTCATAGAAGGCATTCCTAAACTCGCGATTGAAAGGTTCATGTTGTTGGCTCCCAGCATGTGGGTGTGGTGTTTATCTGGTGGATGGATGTCTATCACATGCCACCATGCAGCTCGATGGCGACGATGATCTCCAGCACTGCAACACATCTTGGAAAACTCATAGGCTATGTCTCGGACACCAGTCAGTTTTCAAATCAAATGACACACCATGGGCCCATTTCACCAGGCAGTAGTAATGGCTTCAGTCTGCAGCTCCAAATGCTGCACTTGCTTGCAATTATGAAGGACTTCAAGAACCAGGTCCAGCACAGAACTACGTGGTCTTCCCGGACCTGTGGCCTGGCCTCCAGGAATTTGATGTACGCCGCAGTCTCGGGCGACAAGGCAGCCCTCTCCTCTTCCGCCAGCCGAGGCGCCTGCGACGCCGACGCGGCCTCCCATTTCTTCTCCAGCTCCGCCTCAAACTCCGCGTTTCGAAGGCAGTAGCCGGTGCACATCATGGACAGCAGCAGCGACTCCAGCTGGTCGTGCGGCGCCCGCAGGGTCACCTGCCGTGCACGCCACGCTCAGAGACGCTTCCCATGGGCCCCACAATTGCCCCCTGCATCGCGTCCATATATGTGTTGGGGCCAGTCCGAGAGATTGTGGGTTGGGGAGATGGCGGATGTGGCCGCAAAAGGAGTTGCGGCACCCTGCATTCTGGACACACCGCGGCAGGCACCGCCGCAGGCAGTCACCTCGCGCCACTGAATCTGTCACTTCACTGAACCTGTGAGAAACCTCTCCGCGTCGCCGGCACGCGCCAATTTTCGCACTGCAATTTTGCATTTTTACATTCCGCATCGGCCTCCCCGCACCTGGAACTGAGGGCTCGGGAGGGCGCCCAGCAATCCGGTCACCGCGGCGCGCATCGCGCCCAGGGCCTCTGGCGACGCCGCCGCCTCCAGCGGCTCACGCACCATCGTCTCCAGCGACGTGACCTCCGCCCACAGCCGCCGCGCCCAGTACCTCTGCTCCTCCGCCTGCGAGCCGAACGACACGGGTGGGACGCCCCCGTCGCGGGGGCGCTCCGGCCCGCGGCCCGCGGCGCTGCAGCGACACGCTGGCAGATCCCGGGGCTTCTGGGGGGGGAGTGGGCGGCCCGGCCTCAGGGAACACGGGCGAAAGGGGACTCGGCCGGTGAGGAGGCAAGCGTGCTCCGAGGTTCGCTGCGCCATTGGGTTCCGTAAAGAAAAAAAGAGGTGGGGAGCGGGCGCCGTGCCCCGCGCTGCGCTCCCCAAACTGACACTGGGCCTGAAGGCCAACCGACGCCCTCGAGCTCGTCCTGTCGCTGACGCCCGGGTGATGACGTAAGTGCGGGTGCCGGATGAGGTGATAACAAGTAGAACGCGGCCCTGTAATTGAGCCTGCGAGGCCAACGTGAAGTGAAGCAATGCGGCGTGCAAGGCCAGGAACTTCGCCGCGATGTCCGCCAAAGACGGCGCAAATGTTGTCGTGAAGAAGCGCACGAGGTTACAGGGCATGCTGCTGACCCTGAACCACGCAGATGCAGGCAGGAAAGGTAGGCAATCAGGTGGATTTCACAACTTTGAAACTGGGCGGCCAGTATCTGAATTTTGACGGAGGCAGGAAAGGTGGTGAGGATGGGTGGGGCTTGGGCGAATAGAGTGGGAGGGTTGGGATAGGGGAATGAAGCAAGTCAGTGACGCAGATAAAAAAAAGCGAACAAAAAGCGATCCAAACTGCCAAAATGTGCAACATTTCAGCAAAACGGCCCCAGGGTGCTGTTCGCGCACAGCGTTAATACACAGTCGACCTGCACCGGCGACGTCGTGCGGGCCCCCAGGGGCCTGATGCTGCCTTCAGCGCTGAGACCAGTCTGCTCCAGCGCCGGTCTGTTCGGAAGGCCTGCTCCTCTGTTCGCCGGTGAGTGCAGACCCTCAGCCGTCTCTGACGCTCGATACCCCTCCCGGCCACCGGGATGTCATCTGTGGCGCGCCGATCGACGCTCATCAGACCTGCGGATGCTGTGATTCAGCGCGAGGGCTGTGCCAGCAGGCCGCGGAAGAGGCGCTGCGCACCTGCCTGCATGCCTTGTACAAGCGCGTGCATCCTGACCTATTCCATCAACATCCCGTGGCGAAGGTGGGGCTGGCAAAGGGACTGTGCACTGGCGCGCACAGCGGATGAGTAGTTGCATCTCACTCGTGTGGATAGCATGTTCTGTCCAAACACTCCGTTTTCCGTCGGAAAACGCATCCTTTGATGATACTATAGCGTGCGTAGGGCAGTGGAGCTGCCGTGACCGTTCCCGTAAGAGACTGATATCTGTTCCAGTCACGCGCAGGGAGAGAACGAAAGGTCTCTGAAGCTGCTGCAGGTGGGTGACGAGCCCTTCCTGGAACGCTTGGCCGCTTCTTTTGCGTTCTGTTCACGCCCCTCTAAGGGGTTTCCAACTCTATCCGACGCGAAACTTTGCTCAGCTATGATCGCAAGCAAGCAGCAGCGGATTCTCTGCATTGGGTTAGCTCTTTCTGCTGAGGATGCATGCATTCAGTCCGTCCTCGAATGGCAAGGTTTCCGACGGAATTCTGTCGTGTTGAAGGAGTACTTGAGAGAAGCCAAGTCTGGCTCCCTGGGCAACGTGTCCCCACCTCCCTACAGGTTCGTGTTCTTTGTCAAAGACAAGGAACAGGAGAAAGCCAAAAGCAGTGAATTACGTGGGATCGACCCAAATGCCGAGGACAGGCAATCAGACACAGGTAAAGTACCGAGAGGATCTGCCCATGGCCGCACTTGTTCTCGAAATTCTGGAATTCCTGTTGTCAAAATTCATAACTTTGGCCTTGCAATGATGGGAGATTAGCATCCAACCAGTGTTTGTTCAACGTCCCAACAGCTATGATTTCGTGCCTGTCCGAGGTGCGCTACATGAAAGCAAACAGGAAGTCCATGAAAGCCCCTACATAGCCACCCAGTGTGCCTTGCATTTGCTTGCTTTTGGACCGATGCATGGAGCTTCTTGTCTCTCAGTGGTCAGACTGCCTCATTCAAGCTGATCCACAGACATGTGCATCTCTGCAGATGCCATGGAAAAGCTGCATCGAGTGGCGATCACTTTACCACCACCAGCCCGGAACCCTGCAGGCTTGGGACTTCCAAGGGGAGCCCGAAAGGCACTTGTGGCATTGATGGAATCCTGCGGATTGCCACAGACCTTGACTTCCACAGTGAGCTGCTCCTCCATCACTGCCCTAAGGCACTGTTCCTTCAAGAAATTGATGATTGTAGTCAACAAGAGCCCATGTGCATGGCACTTGGTTCATTGGCTGGCAGCAGACCTCATTGTCATTGTGTACTAAAACAGCATCAACTAGTCATCGGCACTGGGTCAGTGGCCTGCTGGCACGGCGTCTGGTCAAATTTTAAATGTGTGCAGCTTGTGGTGCCAACATATGCATGACACAGAGATGGGTCTCCGTATCCAGCCACTGACAGGGTGTTTTGTGAAACATGGGCTTGTATCTGCAGGGGTCCCTTGCTGGGTGTAAACTGCTGTTGTTTGTCCTCAGATACTGGAAAGCAAGTCGGGTGACCTGCTTCGTGAATTCCTCCCTGAGGCTGCAGAGATGACAAGGAAGCAGGCACAGTCAAGCGATGCGATTGCACTGAGCCTGGCAAATGCAAAGCTGGCACTCAGAATGGGAAGGCAGGTGCTGTGCCACAAGTGGCCTGGTGGCTGATCAGTCTGTAGAGCATTGGGGCAAAAGTCCTGATGTTCAAATCAATGGCAGCTTAACAAGAAATGTTCATTGCAATGTACTGTGGGGACTGGCCAACAATTCCTTGCAGCCCCTGCGACCATGCAGCCGTAACCACCATGCGAAAACGTGGAGATGCTGACTGTGGACATTGCTGCTTTGCTCAAGGCAAGCCTTCTGTTGTGCAGCCAAGGCATAGGGATTTGCCTGAATTAGTGCTGCAGTAGGTGTTGTATGTCTGTGACTAGTGTGCATTAGTAATGCTCTTCTGCAGTCAGATTACATGTTCAACTCTTACTCCAGACCTCACAGACTGCTGTGCATAGACAGAAATTGTATGGCACTGCAGCAAGCCTCCAGGATGGCAATTTCCCTGACCCAGATTGCTTTCGCAGGTGGCAGTTGGATTTGGAGCTTCTTGTGCCACGCTGGATGACAAGCAGCAACTGGAGCTGTTGGAGGTAACACTTGTGCTGCGGGATTGGAATCATCTCCCTCAGTTTTCCTTACATCAAGTGGGCTAAACATACCTGTGAAAAGAGGTGAAATCCACGCATGTTCAAGATTCCATCAAGCAACACAATGTGGAGGTGGCACTTGGCCACTGTGGCCTGGCAGCTTCGTAGCCCACTTTCAAGTTGATGATGCTGATGTGTGCTGGCGCATTGGATGCTTGCCCCATTCAACATGCACATTAATGGGGCTGGGATGCACACCAAGCTTTCCCTGCTGTGCAGGGCGTCGCATGGGCTCTGGATCGCTCATCACAATCGGATGTCAGAGGGTGCCAGCTGATGCTGGGAGAGGAACGTGGTGTGGATGCAGTCGGTCGAGTGTGGCTGCATTCGCAAGACACACCATCAGCATGGCTCCAGCAGCTTCTGGGAACGGATATTGAGTGTGTGCACTTGCGGAGGTCACTGCAAGCCAGTCGACACGTGCTTGAGTCACAGGTCGCTGCTGCTATGGGGGTTTCTATGGTATACGCATCATCAGAACTCATGGTGACTCCAATGTACATGACCTTTTTAAAGGTAAGCGGGCAGCGTGGGGTGCTGTCTACTGATAGTTCCCTGCACTTAGCGCAGCTGCACTATGCCAAATGGCTCCACTGGAGCTGGGAACCGTGATTGGAATTGGGTGAAAACTGCAACCATCTATATGCCAGGCTCAGTGCCATCTTCTTGTACTTTGGGCATCACAACCTTTTCGTTCTGGGATTACACAAACTTTGAGAATGCCAGGGCGCCCCGTCTGCAACACTCAAAGAGTTTGTGGGCGCAGATGCATTGGCTGAGGATCGCAGGAACGTCATTGCCTCCTCTCCGGGCAATCGAAAGGGTTGGTGTAGTTTGTGCCCACTGATGAACATTCTCTCCTCCTGACATCAGCACTGTGAGTGGCCACAACGCCAGCATCACTTGTGGAGGCCCTCTAAGGAGGATTTGCTGCTATTGGTCGAGTCATTGCCGAAAAGTGCAAATGTGCACAATTCATTCCATGTTCAGTTGTTTTCGCTACTGAAATCATGCCATAGAAGTGTGAACCATTGTTGAAATGAACCCCGTTGTGTATTTAGTTAGTTAATCAATCCATCTTAAGACGTCAACCCTGATTCAAAGTTATCTGTTGGCAAGGGAGCCTGGATGCTCCGCAGAATGCGCAATTTCAGCTGTTATGCTTCTGCTTCGTTCGATTGCCAAAATTTTTGAATGCTGTCGCGGGTTGAATGAATTTTTCACTTGTGTGATGACGCAATCGACGGCATGTTTTGTGATTCAGGAATTGCACAGAGTTGCACAGGGCAAGGGAAGATTTAAGGACGCACAACTGTCCAGAGTCCCCGTCTGCGTTGTTCGGGATGACAGCAACTGTGCTGCCACGGTTAACGAGAAGTTGGGTTTCATCAGTCTGAGTGTCTCAAAGTCCCCCGATGAAGTCTACCGATCCATCGAGGTGCGGCCAATCAGGCGCATGAGAAATTACAATGCCATCACTGATTTTGCTGCATTCTACCGTTTTGTCTTTCTTCTGGCGTTGCAATTTTTTCTTGCGAAGTTCTGCGCAAGTATCAACTCTCCTATTTTGCAAAATACTGCACTTGTTGCACGTTTGCATGGAAGTGCGTTCCACTGATTGATTGATTCAATCCCACAATCCAATTCATGTCTCATGTTGCCCTCAACGAGAACCGTTGCAAGCTGAGTGTGTCATGCAGGAACTGGGGCCTGCGGCACTGACTGCGCTGGAGAAGAAAGAACTTGAAAACAAGAGAATAGAAAAGCTGCAGCGTGAAGTTCGACAAAGACTTAAGCTGCGGCGCTTCATGCGGGACCCTGCTCTGGACGTCAACAAGTTTAGGACCTGCTGCAGGAAGCTTCTGCAGGACGTGCCAGGGCTCATTGCCCTCACGGAGGGTCTGTCCTTGCGAGTGTCGAACAAGAACAGAGTGGCAAGAGAGGATGGCACAATTGAAATCGCTTGGGACTCCAAAATTTGACGAACGAATGCATTGTTGCGCACAGGCGGCTCCTTTGAGCTGCCACTTTGCATTGCTCTGGGCACGCAGAGCAAGGAGCATCATACAGGCAACATTAGGCCATTGCAGATTGGTGGCTTAGGTTGATAAACGGTAGACTAATCACATATTGTGAATGCGCGAAACATTCTGCGAAGTACGGTTGCTCGATACGCAGCCATCCTTGTGTTCGCCCTGCAGACTCGTGCTTTCGGTGCCAACATTGACACCACCCAAATGGCGAGTCGTTCCGCCGGTCTTGAAGTTGCAACCGTAAATGGTGCATCTGGAATTAGAAAACCGACTGTCGCTCAGTGACGCACCCCGTCCAAGTTTTCATTCGGGTGGATAGCCGTGCCGACCACAAAAACGCGATTGGTCTCCGCCTTGGTTCGTGCTACAGAGTAGAAAGCAAAGGGTCTTTCAAAACGAAGGATGAACACGATTTTGGATTGGATACGTGGAAGAAATTACAGTGAATAAGCCACGATTTTTATGCTCGTCGAATCCACCAATCTGCCATCCATCTCCAGTAAAGTACGGGTGACAAAATGTGCTTCTGCTCGTATTTGTAGAGTATCATGCCAGTGCTGCAGTTCGCTCAACAGATGTTCTGAACACGTTCCAAGACACACGGATAAGATGCGGATAAGATGCTCAAAAAGCCGGCGGCAGCATCGAAAACGCCGAGCAGATGGCGCCATTGTCCACCCGTGGGAGCCCACTTTGCAGGCCGGTGAGGGGGCGGACGTGCATCAACAGTCCTGCGCCAAGCAGGGATCAGAGAACTGTGGAAAATGCATGGGCAGGGATTGCTGTGAATGTCTGCGCATGAACGACACATGCCAAATGCATGAGAATGTGCATAAAGCACGATCGGAGACCTCTGCACCAGCGCTGCGGGGACACCTGCAACCTTCCCTGGTGGCGCATTCCGCACAGATTCAGAAAGTTCCTGAGCCGCTTAGCGGGAGCAGTCTTGAATCCCAAAATCGCTTCAGCTGAGGCGCATATGCGCGGCGAAGTGTCTGATGGCTTTGTCCCCACCTTAATCATGAATCGCCAGTGCTGGACACGAATGAGCTTCACGACTCCCATTGTGTCATAGCAGCCTGTTGACGCCGCGTGGTAGAGTGGTCCCTTCACACAAGGCAGGCGTGCTCATTGCATTTTGAAGGCCATGGACGGCATGTACACGTTAAGACTATTTGTCCCCACTGTAGCCACTGCTCTGCACTGCGCCCAATTTGCGCTCCACCCCCATCCGCAGGAAAGCTAGCTGCCAGCGCTGGCACAGGCTCCATGCCGCAGCATATTCCACACTTCCACATGAAAAAGTGTACCGTTACGGTTTTTGCTCCGCATTTCCTTCAGCTCGTTATTAAATTTTTTACGGTTAATCCCTGGAGATTTCGTTAAAAAGGACGTTATGGTTTAATATCATGAGATGGCCATTTGTGTATGTCGTTTTCCTTCCCTGTGATGGGGAAGGAAACGACGTGAAATGTATGAGCCCATCTGAGCTGGACTAAGTGATGATGGTTTACATTGCAGACCAGGGGCTTTGTACCCAGACGCCCATCTTTGCACTCACTTCGCGCAAGCGTGAGGCGGCATCAACGCCACGTAAAGCGCCATCCGACCATGCTCTTCATCTCACACATTTCCGCAGGGGCGGGCCATAACGTACAGCATCAGCAGCTCGATCAGCTCGATCAGAATCCGGCAGGGTGAATGTCTGAAAAGGATTGCCGCGCAGCCTGGACTGCACGAGACGGTATGCGCCACTGGGCCACTGGTGTTGAAGGTCCGCAGGACTCAAGCAACAGCCTCCGAATTTCTCATTCACATTATTCCCGCAGCATTTGCTGAAACTGCAGCTCAGCTTTGGTTTCGTCGCGCCAACTGCTGCAAAGCTGTCGATTTACCGCCAAAATAATGCAGCATCAATGGAACATCGCAGAAACACACGCCCCCGCAGTGCCACATAGGCGCGCAACAGCCGACGATCATTTAGGCCCGCATTGGCGGCTATGCACCGAAAAGCCGCCAAAAGGGCGCCCAAGGCTCAAAGGGCCCCCTGTGTGCGCACAGCATCCTGCACATCGAATGGGGCGCATCACCACGAGGCACGCCAGCACCCGCGACTTCGCACTTGTCCGGGAGCACCTCAGGGAGGAGGGGTGGGTTTTCCGCCAGGGGGCTGCCTCCACCACATGAGACGATATATCACACATACGTGCGGGTCAGTGCAGGTCCCGAGGGGCCCCCGCTCTAGTTGCCTAACGGAGGGCGGTACCCTCGTCCTGCGCAGGGCCCTTGGAACCAAGGCAGCGTCGTGGGGAGCGGGCGGTGATTCGGAGTTGTTGTGAGTGGAAGCATTTGCGCGCGGCGTTGTGGGCCGAGTGTGCCGAAGGGGTTCCCGCGTTGGCTGGCTGGGTGGCGCCCAGGCGCTCCGGTGTGCGGCCGTTCGGGAAGTTTGGAGCCCAGTGTTGTGTACAATCCCGTGTTAGTGTGTTCTCTTGCTGAGGGAGACATTGCGGGCTCGCTCTGTGCCGGCTTTCGGAGAACATTACCTGGGAGGTTTGTTCTCAGCGACAGATCAAGGCTAACAGTGAAACACACACGTGGTGCCAGTACCTTTGGTGGTGGAGGAGATGAACAAGGAGGGTCAGTTGGAAGAGACGCATTTTCTGTTTGGTATTTTTAACAGGGCTCACCATTGCAAACGCCCAATTAAGCATTGTTCAATCGGTTTAGATTCAAGAACTTCAGAGCAGTTTTGAATGCTTGTATCCTCTCATCGAAGGCGGAACTCATCATTGCCGCTCTTTGGAAAAATGCGAATGGATCCTTGTGTGGGCGCGTGAATGCAGGAGCGACTCGATCATCGCCCTTGCAGCAGAAGACTCTCAGACTGGATCTCCGTTGGGAGTAATTGCACTGTAAGCTCTGTTTCTTCTCTTGCAGAATGATCGTTAAAGCATTGGCTGGAATCTTCTTCAGCAGAAACTGACCACTGAGCAAGGATTAACAGGCAGCGGGTGTTTGCTATGTTTACAAGGATCTCAGAAACTGGCAAATATTTCAGTGATGGAGACACAGATGCTTGAGTTCCTGGATGTGCAAAGCCAGCGCAACCCTTTGATAGTCATGGTCACGTTACTACATATAGCCACCCGGGTCAAATGTTACGGTTGCAGCCGCATACAGCGCGGACATTTCAACCAGAAATGCCATGGTGATGGTGGCAACAATAAATCAATGTATGTGGCAAATTAAATTTTAAACACAGTCTCCAGCACATTTTAAGATTGCCTAAAGTCTTGTTAGATCGAGTTTCCGGATCGCTTCAAATCACCCTGTTCAATTGCGCACAGCCCTGACTATGAAGAATTTTCTCACTTGCCAGGAATGAAAGCCGCAATTTCAATTTAAAGAGCAATTTACCTTGTCGCCCATTTCTGATGCTCACTGCACGAACGCAGGGGAAGTCGGCCCTGCATTGCAGGTAATGTTGACGACTGTTTAGCAACCGAAGTCGAATATTGGCTGAAAACAAGTGGAGGAACTGGATACTCTGCACAGACTACCACCAGTGGATTCGTTTTGGTTCTTCTTGCAGTTGGGGACGCTCAGGTGATCGTCTTCAGGAATGTGAATAATGTATTGGGGCAGATCAATCCAATATATTGACCGTTGTGGTTAATGAGCCTTTCGAATACATACATATTGGTGTGTTCGAAAGGCTTATTAACCTTCTCGGTCGAGGGTGCGAGAGCCTCTTGAACCCAGGGGGTTACGGAATTGAACAAGAGGGTGTGAGTCATCTAGTCGTCGACGTTCTGTGCTGCCCTATGCTTTTTCAGGCATACCGGAGATGGCGTGCATGAATATTATGCATGGAAGCACTCGTGCACACGTCTGAGCTGCATTACAAAAGCAGTAAAATTTTATATTCTTTGAATATGAAACGTTGGGAAATCGTCAGGCAGAAGTCGCTCTTCGCTTGCTGAGGGGAGCATTTCAGCGCTTGCAGCACTTGCGCCAGATAAATTTGGTGGTGTCTTCGGCTCCGGACGCAAGCCCCCAAGGTTAGTGAGACATCGCGAGGCATATTTGCATGGACTTCATAAGCTTGTGAATTGGCCAGCCATTTCGGTCCGCATCCCCGCGCGTGCGCGCGGTTGAGAGTGCTGGAAGCGATTCTGGACACTTTCCAGCACAACCAGTTCCATTGTAATGAAAGTCCTCATAATATCATCGTTATATCATAATCATAATAATAAAATGGTAAATGACATTAAATAACCGACTTCAATTTAGATTGAATTCATGTCGGGCCTTTCATGGTCATGACAGTGACTTTCGTCAATGAGCGACATCTTACAAAATGCCACTCATTGACGAAATCAGGATTTTGTGGGCACACACTCAACATGGTATGGTTCCACTCTTTCGGAACATTGATCTTAGGGTCCTATTCTATCAGGATGGCTGTATGACAGTGACCGGATTGCATCTCGTGGTCCACAGCGGAATGCTGCCGACACCTCAAGGAATTCGAGCCATTTTCGAGCAACGAGGCTCTACACCTGGAGGTCAGGGCGTGCCAAAGAGACAGGGTGCTGCCGGCGCTGAGCATCAGGAGAGCGCGCGTCGAGGATTACGACGACCTGCTGCCCGTTCAGCGGCGCTGCCAGGCAAGGGGGCACTGCCTGGCGAGGCTGCCGGGCTGGTATGACGAGCATGCACCCTGCCGGAGTCACGGAGATGGGGATTTTGCCCTGGCGGGGATCATCGAGGCGCAGGACGACCACAACTGCGTGCTCGTAGCCACGGCGGAAGGGAAGCTGGTGAGTCCATTCCGCCGGCGAGGCTTTGCCCATTTCAGGTAGTTCTTGCCCGCGCTGTGGTGCCGTTTCAGAAATTTGTTTTCTCGAAAAGGATTACTGCGAATACATGTTTTTCAACAGCAGTTG